TTCATTGGGGAACTCGGATTTGGTAATGTTTTCTTCGCCTTCGCTTGAACCGGTGCGTTCATTGGGGTTTAGATGTGTTGGGGATGGGTGGTTTCGACTTTCAGTGCCGCCTGTAGCACCGGTCTTTGCATTCCGTGTTTCTGTCATTTTCTGTTCTTTACCCAGTATTCACGCGTGATCTGTGCCATGCCTCAGGAGATGCGGGCGTCCAGCTCGGAGTGATCAAGGCTTCAGCTCTCGTGGCAATGCATGGCACTTTCCGAAGCATCGCACCTCCCTGCATTTGCATCCGCTGTGCTGGCAGGCCCAAGGAATGCACGTGATGCTCTTCAGATTGGGCCTAGACAAGTGAGAGAAAGAGAGAGCACTGCCAGAAAGCAGACTCCAGTTTGAACTTGCGAAGTTTATAAGCAGACTAGACCATCGAGATGTCACAAGTTTTGCCAAATGTCATTGAGAAGCTGGGGCCTGTAGGGATATGCGCGAAGCTTCGCACATCCCTGAGTCCGTTACAGTGCATCCACGGTTGAGCACCTGATGGGTGCAGATTCTAGTTGTCAACCCCTGGCACTGGGTGCGGAGATGTGCACGACCAGTCTCCGGCTGGTTCTGAGCAATCAGAGGAAATATGTGCTGAGTGACAAGTCAATCTAGGCTCTGCCAAATGCATTGCTTCAGTTGACTTTCAGGTTGCGACGCTGTCTGAATCTTCACGTCTGCTTCTATATGCATTGACCCGGCAAACTCTGTCCCGTTGTTTTCCGCGGGGGTGGGGGGGGGGGGGCGAAGACGAAGCTGCGAAGACGATGAAAGACGAAATTGCTTGCAAAGACCTGAAGCTCCATATGGCGTCCGAAGACTAAAATTGAAGACGAAAATTCGGCCATACGAATCCTTCCACACCTGTCGTGCAAGCTAGCGTGCTAGCATTGTGTTAGCAAATGGGGGGGGGGCCTGTTCTGGCCACGCTGGCCAAAAGGCCTAAAATGCTCCTGAAGCCCAAATTCGGCACTGAAGCATAAATTCGGCGCTAAAGCCTAAATTCCGTCCTTTTCCTGTAGGCCCCCTGAACTTCAAAAGACGACCGTTTCACATCGTGTGGGCTGCCCTGCGAACTTATCCAAGGCAACTTGCTGGCTGCCACTTTTTTGCAACCCCATTTGCCAACACTATTGTTGCAAAACGGGTTTGGAAAGGACTCCTGTGTGTTAAACGCAATTCCTCTTCATGGGTTGATGTTCTTGACAAAATTCACTTACTGCAAGTCCTCTTCATGGCACGACAAAAAATCGGGGGGGTGGGGGGGGGGGGGGGGGGGGGGTGGAGGGTGCAGCCCCACCTTTGCAAACACGACGCTCGCCTGTACGCTCGCACGACGTGTTTGGAATGGGTTCGTATATGTTTGAATGCAAAGCTTCTTTAAGGCATGAACTTTCTCATAAAGCAAGATGGGACAGGTTAAAGCTAAACAAAAGCCGGGGGTTGCGAGGGGGGCGCACCCCCCCCCCATTTTGCAAGCACTTTGGAAAGGATGTGCGTGCGTGCGTGAGTGCGTGCGTGCGTGCGTGCGTGCGTGGGTGGGTGTTTGTGTGTGTGTGTGTGTGTGTGTGTGTGTATGTCTCTCTCTGTGTCGGTGTCTGTGTGTCTGTGTGTGTGTGAAGGGATGGCGCGATCTTCTTTGCAACGCAGGCTTGCGAGGCTTGAAAAAAAGGGAGGGCGGACTGCCCCCCTCCATTTGTAAACACAATGCTTGCATGGAACGGATTCGTATATGTTTAAATGCATGTCCTCTGCATGGCACGACCAGGCGGTTGGGTGGGTGCCGACTGTAGGCTTCAAGACCGGAAAAGCAGGATTTAGGCTTCACCGCTGAGTTCTGGCTTGAGGGGCATTTTCGGCCTTTGGGATTCAGCACCGAATTTAGGCTTCAGGTGCATTTTAGGCTTCAGGCCCGAGAGGAACGAAGTAGGCTTCAGTTTCAAATTTTGGCTTCAAGTTCTTTCTGGCGCCAGGAACGTGGGGTGGGGAAGGGCAGGGAGAGGTTGGGACGAAGGGTGTTGGTCCCAGTGTCGATGCCGAATTTCGCAGTCCGCGGGGGATCGAATCTAGGCTTCAGCGCCGAATGTAGGCTCCAGTGACACTTTAGGCTTTACCTTGTGGACAGGCCAGAATTCAGGCGCCGGATGCGAGCTTCAGTCAGCACTTCGAATTTCAGCTTCAGGGGGGTCCGAAAAGGGGACCCGCTCTCCCGAGTCTCTGCACCCAAATGTGACACATATGGCACAGATCAATACGGACGAGCTAGAACACCACATACTGTCACATCTGGTCAACTCTGGGCCATGGTGGTTCGGAGGCATGGCTGGTTGCCCCATCTCGTCTCAGAGCAACACTGGCAACACATGGCGACATGAACTTGAAACAGCTTGATCTGCTGCGATACCGCTGAAACAAGACGATTCCAAAATTTCCAGCACGTGCAAGTAATTTCTGTGTGCACATGTACGCGTCTCGGGCATGCCTGTACGTGTAGCGCCTGCATGGACCATGGAAGCAGCTCCAGTCTGCAGTCCTTTGTGTGCCAGGCTTGGAGCTAGGCTTTGCATTAAGCATGTGATCAATCATGTGTAGCCGCCTTTGCTGCCCTCAAGACGCACGCTCAACGGCTCTTGAGACTGCACTTGGATGCGCCACATTCAACCGTGCGATTCAACCGTTCGTGAACAGGTTTCGGCACTTCGGACTGGCAGCCGAGCAGCGCAGGAGAACCTCTCGAAAGCCTTGGTGGAAACTGGCGTTCTTTCCCCAGACAGGAACACATCCAGACATGTAGCTTTGACATGTAGCACGGGCTGTTATAGGTTTTAGTCAACATGGCTTGTTGTGCACTGCCCACTTGGCCATGTGCAACTTTGAGAAAGGGCGATGGCCCAACCACAAAGAACAAGACACAAGGAATGGGACTTGCGTGAAAAGAGACCGTGGCTCTAGCCTCGAATAAATCCAGATGTTTCCCACCAAGTCAGTGCTACACTTGGGATGCGCCTAGTTAACTCCAGCATGTACCTATATGAGCATTCTGCCGAAGTAACCCATACTATCATATACTGATGCATCTGTGAGATACAGATATTACACAGGATGGAGCCCGATGTATACCGAAAATATGTGCTGCTTGAGAGGGCTTCGAATGGGGGGTGCTTCGCTATACAATTTAGCTTCCAAGTGTGGGCGGTCAAGGGGGCAGTGGCGAAGGCAAACCTTGATTGCGATCTGGGATTTCAGATTTCAGTGTAGGGTTCGTGCACTGGCAAGCCAAGTCGTGTGCGCCGCGTGAGCAACTTGTACAAGTCAAGGATGTGTCTCCAATTTATATGAGAAGTTCTGGAGAGAGTCTGTAGCAATGTCAACGAACTTGGGGAGACTGAAGCTAGTAAAGTTTGGATAAGGTATCTGGGTTCAGTTTGAAAGTCTGTAGACTCTTTAGCGTGCTGAAAAATCAAAGCTAGGGGTTTTTTGAATTGCTTACAGGCAAACAGGCTCTTCAAAACCGACCTTAATTAATTAATGTCCTTGTTAATGAAAGCGCAAAACATTGAAATTCAGCATTCCGGGCTCTGCAAGACTCCAAGATGCAAGATCCACGAGCCCAGGAGATTCTGGAATCCAAATCTTTGGATCCCCACTCTGCCAAAGTCGCTGAATTTCGATCCCTGAGTTTTCATTCAGAAATTTCCAGTGTTTCGGTTGGATGTGAGATTTGGATTCCTGAGTTACCCGCAGTGGCACTCTGGATCTTGCGCCCGAACACCGATGTCGATACCCGATTGAATTTAAGTCGGGTGTAAATCGGGATCCAAGCTTGGATCTTGGATCCCAGAATACTAAACTTCAGTATCATTAGGATTTCAAGGCATGTGGGGGGTTCCAGGTAATGGCACGTCGAACAAGATGCTTATTGGTTCACAGATAATGATGCAGACGTTGATGGGGGGGAATGGGGGGTGGTGCACGGTCGGTGTGTGTGTGTGTGTGTGTGTGTGTGTGTGTGTGTGTGTGTGTGTGTGTGTGTGTGTGTGTGTGTGTGTGTGTGTGTGTGTGTGTGTGTGTGTGTGTGTGTGTGTGTGTGTGTGTGTGTGTGTGGGACAGTTGTGCTTTTGGCAATCATCGTCTCTCGGAGTGGAGCGGTCGAGCCCGCTGGTGCGCTTTGCATCTATCCTGGCACCATCCAATAGCTGCTGCACCGCCACGAACATTCGCACCTCCCCAAACCCCCAAAGGTGTTGCACTTGCAGTTAATAATGCTGTCCGCAATTTGCAGTTGCCAGTCTTGAGCCCAGATTTCACACAATTGGCACCCGAGCATGGGGAGCCCCCTAAAGAAGGCTTTGTCTTGTTTTGCATCCTTTGTTGTTCTAGCACTTTCCCTGGCAAAACTGGAATTGTCTAATTTGCTTTGTTTCTTAGTAGCCTTTGATCTCGAGATTGTTGGTTGTGTTAGTCCGATTTTTGGATTCCAACAGCGCTGGTCACCGCCCCACAGCCCCACAGCCACAACCCGAGCCAGTCGCTGCCCCACATCATTGGCACCAGGGATGGCACTTTTCCTCTGCAGGTTTGGCGGCTGTGCGCAGAGGCCTTGGGCGCTGGTTTGGGCTGGAGTTTGATTGTAGAACGGGTTGGGCCCAATTCTTTTGTTGGGGTTGCCGTTCGTTACCACTCGTAAGGCTTAAGCAACGTTGAATGCCAGCGTGTGGCATTGAAAGGAAGATGCAGCTTAAGCGACAGATGGCGAACTACGACATGTCAGCAGTGAAAGGTCTAACGCAGGAAATCCATCCAAGCTAGCCTTTCGGGTCAAAGGCAGAATCTTTAAAACCATCTAACCTATGCCCGTGCCGGCCGCTTTCCAGGAAATAACATTGCGCGTTCATCAGCCTCCTCTCTCTCTCTCTCTCTCTCTGTCCCTGGTCTCCCGACTGTCTGCCGACTCCCTGCTTTCATCGCCGTTGCGAATGAACCCAACTAAGATCAACTAAAGACAGAGAAAGGGAGCAAGACGTTGCTGCTGCTTCTGCTGGACGGAGGCTGTGTCCAAGGACTGGCCCAGATCCATCGAGGGGCACGATCTCGACGTCACTTTCGTGAGGGTCTTCTGTGCGGAGCGCTTGGTCATCTTGCACCGGCATCTGGACCTTTGTGCGCAAGACCATTGTGCGCATGTCGAAAGGCATCGCGATTGGCCCATGTGGCGAGGCGATTGCTCCTTTGGTGTCCAGATGAGGCACATGTTGAATCGTCATTGTTCAGCATTTGTTAAATTCTAACGCATTCTAACGCTACGCGACCCGCGTCGGCCTGGCCCACCGCAGCTCCCGGAGGGGGCGATCGCCTGTGAGAGTTCTGCTGCAAAGGGTGGTTGGGGGAAAAAGGGTAGCAAAGATATCAATCGATGAATAAACAGCTCGGGCTTTGGAGGAGCGTCGAACTTTCCACTGTGTGATGCAGCAGATCTTGCACCAGCATCCTGGCAAGCTCGATCCTCTGAGTTTATGTTTCTTTCTTTTCTTTCAAAGGGTTGTTCAATTCATGTCCAAGCGGGCGTTTGAACACGTACCTCGTCGTGCGCACATGTCAGGGCGGCTGATCTTGCGCCAATGCCGAGCCCTTAATGGGACACTCGCGACATGGTGCTGGCGAGCGCAATTTGTGCTGCCTCAGTCCTGCAAAGGAGGATCTTGAGTGTTTCTATGTGTTTGTGCCGTTTTTTAGGGATGCGCGTCGACGCTTTCTGAATTAAGCCTCGTCCATACTCAGTTACTGCAGTTGCTGGTCTTTCCCATGACTCATTCCGGCACGTCACCTCCTGATCCAGAAACCCAGAGACGACCTCTCATGGTCATGCTGCCTGTCCCCTTCACCGGTGCTGAACGCGACTCTCGACCGTGCACATCCGCGCACAAGCTGGTCACTTTCCCGCTCGTGCTGTCTTCACTTATTTTCGTGCGTGTTTTCGCTCGTCTTCGAGCGTCTTCGCACATCTTACTTGTTCGCGTGTCTTCGCTCGTCTCATGGATCGCTTCGACAGACTTCGCATGACTTCGCTCGTTTTCGTTCGGCTTCGCGTGTCTTCGCTCGTCCTCGGACCTTGGCTGTACATGCCGTGCAGGGGGCCGTCGCGCCTTCTGCCAATATGCTGGCGCTCGCCAATGTGCTTGCAATGAGCTGGTCCTTGAGTCGCCGCAGTCTTTGCGTTTCGTTTACCTTGTTGCTCGTTCGAACGGTTTGCGTATGAATCAGAAAGGTATACTGGCAGAAGCCACAAACCAGAATGCAAATCTGTACAGAGTCCCACTATTCGGTGAACTAAGCTCTAGACGAAGCGCGCTCTTTTTTGAACTCTGGCGACTGCAGGGTGGCAGGTCTGCCCATGCGCTCCCCAACCATGCGTCGTGCATGGACATGCACCACATCTTCTGGGAGCCTACGAGAATTCTACGCATTCTCACGCGCAACGTGATCCCCCGGTCTTTACTCGGAGCCTGACAACTGTCCAAATCGCTTTCAGCCCCGGTCATCGACAGACACGATTGTTGCATCAACACGTCGAAGACGCGGCGGGCCGTTTCCTTGCAACAACCGCCATGAATATAGTAACAAGTTACTTGGTTTTCGAACGAAACATGGCGGAAAAGCTGCTTCTCTCCGCAACCACGTGCTTAAAGTATGCACAACCAGCAGAGCACATCATAATCCGAGCAACACGTTTTCCGCAGTTTCGCATGACGTGGGCTGAAATGCACGAGGAAGGAAAAGCCAGCGCTTCCTCTGATTTCCTCTGCATGAGTTGTCAGTTGGTCTGCACTCGTTTCCTTCGCTGCTGCCCGCTCCTTCGCAGCCAGCCTGCTGTCCCTCCCAAGTGCAGTCAACGTCGACGCCCTCACACCGGACCTCAGTGATGTCCTCGCTGACGCCGACGAGGATGAAGAGCGTCGAGCGCTGGCGCCTGCCATTTCCGGCACGATCTGCGTCAACTGGCCCGGTCGGGGTCGGCAGGCCAAAGAGTGCCAGACCTCGCCGAACTTTTGCGTGCTTGCCATCGATGTCGCCAACGAGACCGGCGGCCCGTGCTGCCTGCACTTCGGCTTACGCTCAGCGATGGGCTGGTCAGTTGGGCCTCGTCAGCAGCATGCGTCCTCGAATCACAACGCAAGCGCAGCCACTAGGGAGTTACGGTTGGATCAACACACACGCATTGAAGTACTTTTGGGAGATATGTCGCTCAAATGGTTGGGTTGTTGTTTGTCTGCACATGGCCATGTGACAGCGGATTTGGATCACCATTAGCCAACCGCGCTCGTGCAACAGCAAGCAACGGCAACGCGGCTGCCTCCCCAAGCATCAGGACAGCGGCAAGACACTGCATGACAGCATGGTCGTGCCCCTGGGCAAAGTCTTGTACCACTGATGGGGGGAATGTGCGGAGGACATGTTGAGCCGAGGGGTAACGCAACAGGACAACAACAACCAGGCAACGTGCACGTCGTCCAAAGCCGGGAGTTGCTCGAGCAGAGAGCTGTGGCGGGTCAAGAGCTTTGGGAGGCGGTGCTGCATGAACTCGGCCGACCCGATTGGCGTACGCATGGTGCTGCAGCCGGCGGTAGAGGTAGTGACACAGAATCCCGGAAAATTTTGTTGTTTGATTCTTTTGTTTTTTTTGGCATTGTTTTTTTTTTGTTTTGTGGAAATTGGTTTTCTGGGCTTTTTGTGTTGATTTGTTTGGTTGTTCGGTGTTCCTATTCTCCCAAGAGTCTTGCAAAATTCAAATTTTGGGTGGTTTTGTTTTTTAAAGCATTGTTTTGTATGTTTTTGTGCTTTTAGCAAATCTGGCCTGATTGCTAAAACCGCAAAAACGCAGCGGCTGAGAAACCGCTTTGAACCTGATTGTTCTTGCTCACGACGAGTCCGTCCGTGTTACCAATGCTTGCGAATGGCCAGAGCGTCCATGTCCGCACGACGATCACGTCCGTGTTACCGGTGCGTGCGAATGCACGTCAGGTCAGCTTAGCCTGTAAGCCCGAAGGCAGCCCCGTCGTGGCACCGGGTCGAACGACCAGGTTTGCGAATGAAAACGTTCGCAAGTGCTGACCAGCCTTTTGTTCCACTCGTAAACAATTGCATCCAGCCTTTTGTCGTAAACAATTGCATGCCACGGACGATTCCCAATCCAAGTCCGGCGGCGGATTCATGTTTCTCCACATGGAGCTGTTTTTTTTGGTGTCGCTCCGGCCTCGAAATAGTCCAACCGGAGACGTGGGGAAACACGGATATCGCATAAAATCCTTTTGTTAGCCCAAAATGCACCACGACCACCACGACCACCACGAACGACAGAACGAACGAACAAACAAACCCACACACACACACACACACACACACACAGAAACAAACAAACATACACCCATATACACGACTGTGCACGCACATACATGCCTACGCACGCATCTACACACATATACATGCATATACACGCATACACACACGCACATACACCTACACATCCACATGCACATACACATACACGTACATACACACACACACATACACACATACACACATACACACATACACACATACACACATACACACATACACACATACACACATACACACATACACACACACACACACACACATACACACATACACACATACACACATACACACACAAACACACGCATACACATACACACATACACACATACACACATACACACACACATGCACACACACACACATACACACATACACAAAGTCGAGACACACACACACACATACACACACGTACACACACGTACACACATTGAGACCTTCGCATTTAGACGAAAAAACCTTGGACAATGGGAGAACTTCAATGCGCCGTTCATCGCTTTTTGGTTATTGAATTACTAAAGGCAAATGCTTGACTGATGTACAAAGTCTTTGCGCGTATGATTCCTGGTCGCACGAAAACATCTTGGACGCATCGCAACCAGAGGAACAACACGGATTCAGAGTGGGACGCCGTATTGAAGAGCATCTCCTTACGGAAAATGTTTTGCTGCTTCCCCTTTGGATTGTAAGTGTTGTTTTTGCCAAGGCGTTTGACAGTGTTGAGTGGTCTGCTCTTTGGACAGCTTCGCGGACACAAGTATACCGTCCAGACCGGCCCAGCTCAGGGTAAGTGCTGTGTCGTTTGCGCCTGGCAGCCTGTGCAACGACATGCCCTGGCCTCCTGGCAGCTTGCGGCCTTGGTAGTCCATCTCTGCACACTGGGGTGAGCATCGTCGTGTCCACTGCCAGTTGCACGGCCAAGGGCCCGGCCTGCGAGTGGAGCAGTGCCTGAGCCTTATCCATGCATCTCAAAAATTGCCAGCCATGGCCCAAACCCCATCGCAGCAGCAAATCGCCTCGTGCATTCCGATCACCCATGCCACAAGCTCCAATTTGATGTTCATTATCGAGTGGTTGCAACATGCCAAAATAACTTCACCAAAGAAATTAGACAACCACAACCAAGCAAAACAACTGGTGCTGCAGAAGATGGGGCGCGGCCTGTGGCATTGGAAGTGGTGACGTGATGGAGTGGTGCCACGATGTGCGCACTGCGCGTTTTCAATGTGGTGCAGAGCAAATGACGGCACAATATGCTCACTGTGCGTCTTCCACTTGGGGCATTGCAGATGACGGCAAGTGATGGCTAGCTGCTGTTGCTACGAGGGATGCGACGCGGCCCACGGCGGTGATGCCATGGCTGAGCGGCTTCTCACGGTGCATCCTCGATATGGTGCAAAGCAGATGATGGCGCCGCTTGCTTTGAGTCTCGATGATGGCTCCGTTTGCTCTGAGTCTCTGTGTGGATGGCGGAGATGCCACAGTGGAGGGATTGCCTTCTTGCCTGGCAGCAGCAACGTGTCTGGCATGGGACATGGCTCCGCGACATGGTTGAGCACTGTTGGGCTGAGCGGCGCCACTGACGTTTGGGGTCGGCGACTGGGGTCCCGCAATTCGGCCAGCGTGGCCTCGTTGCCGTCGGCGAGCGGCTCGGCCGTGAGAGCCCGACTCGCTGCGGAGAGCGCTCCGAGGTGGACGAGCGCTGCAGCCTGCGCCGCTCGACGGTCGGAGTCACCCTCTGCGGGCTTCCTACACAAAGAATTTAAAAAGCCCGAAGCCCATGTAAACTCTCAACCCCAAAGCAAACAAGTCGGATTTTCAGACTTGAGCGCCCCAAAACCTGGCTTCGAGGCCTTCTATCCGTGAAATTTGATGCGAACTCGGCGGAAGCGCTGCGAAAGCTCCGCGGAAGCTCCGCGGAAGCCCGCGTGCCCATCTGAAGGCATGCCCTTCCTACTGAGCCCGCGCTCTTGAAAATAGATGGTGCCGTTGCGCAGCTGCTGCCAGCTCAAGCTGCAGCATTCTCATGGAACGCAATGTTGCATGTATGCCTTGCCGCTGCGGCGTGTGAGATGTGAGTGCACTTCCTGAGTGGCGTTTTCACACAGTATATATCTGCGTCTGAATGTTAGTAGTGTCTTGACATTGTCATGCTTACTTAACTCATGTCGAAATTGTTGGTTTGATATGGTTGATTCACGTCGCATTCCTTGATGTTTGTGTTTGCTCACTTTCAGTTCTTTCTGATCGTGACACACGATCGTTCAAGGACCCGTCTCTCTCTCATGGGACGCGTGTCTCATCGTGTAGTCTCAAAGTTCCAGACGCGTGTTCGAGTTTATATCTTACGGACATACTCGCGGAAGCAAGTTTCTAAATCAGCCCGCGGAAGTGTCCGCGGAAGCAAAGGAAGCGGACGAGCAGAAGCAATACTCGCGGAAGGGTTCCGCGGAAGGGTTAGAGCAGGGTGACCCCCTCATGCCTGCGGCGAAGGGGTGTTTGCGTTCTTAGACGACATCTACATCGTTTGCTACCCAGAGCGCGTCGCCACTCTTTATGGAGCCCTCGCCGCTGCATGCCGGTGCCCTCTGGGATCATGCCCGGGTCCAGCTCAACCAGGGCAAGACCCGTGTCGCGCCAGGGCGCCCGTGTGCTCAAGTGGGAGGGCTCTGGACGCCAACGCGCCGGACGTCGCACAGGCTGAGTGGTGGTCGCCCAGCGGGTCGAGGCGTCGGAGCCCGCACCGCTCGCACCCCATGCGAGTTTGACAGCATCGTCGTTCGCGAGTGACCATATTGACCATGATGATGCTGTTGCGCGTTGCCTTGCGGAGCCCTTCCAGCTCGATGCCGAGCAGCTGCCTGAACATAGTCTTCGAATGCCTGGCGGTGTGGTGGGCTGGGCCTGCATTGTGTGCGCGCAGATCGTCCTGCTGCCCGTCGTGCGTGTTTGCCGCGGAACCAAGTGGTCGCCAACGGGCTTCGCAAAACCTGAAAGGATTGTGGGGCATAAGAGTAAACATGTTTGGGCCGGGGGGGTGGGCATCAAATGTACCTGCTGAAGCCTTTTCGGGCCGAGATGGCCTGATATACAGGCTGGTGCAGGCTTTTTGCAATGGCCCTGTGGCCATCCGAAGCGGCTGCGCTGGCCTTCGCCAGCCTTGATGAAGTTCGGCAGTTTTATGGGGTACCGGATGTGGCCTGGCAAGCATTCCATGCCCAGATCGGGTATCCGGATCTCCGTATATTCCCTGCCATCCCTCCAGAGGCAGTTGTTCAAAATGTTGTCGACTCGCGCATGCCTGACGGGTCAAACTTGACACCTACATGTGCTGTGCAGTTGGGGTTGGTTTGGCGACTCGCAAACAGGATCCAATGGGTCCGGGGCGGAGGCACGTGGGGAGAGTGGACTGATATAGACCCTTGGGCCGCAAAACCCACAGCTGCGCCTACTCCAGCTCCAGCCGCTGCAACAACCAGGGAGAGATCCTTGAAGATGTCACAGGTGTTGGACCAGACAGACGACAGCGAGTTCCTGGTGGAGCCCCTTGCTCGAGTAGATTTGTGGTTCCAGAGGTATGTCACCATAATGGGCGCCGCCCCCCAGGAGGAAGAGGACGTTACTGCTGAACAGCTGAGCGCCTTGCATAAGAGGACGGCATTGCTGCAACAGCCGCCCTATGTGGACATGGCAGTGTGGTCTCCTTTCGGCAGGAGGGCACTGAGGACTTCGAAGTTCAGAGCCTGGCTGCCCCAGGGTGACGGCACGTATCTGGCCAAGGAGCTGCCAGGACCCGCAAACTATCAACAGTGGCTCGCAGCATGGCGGGTCTTTCAAACGGCCTGCATCATGTTGGATCTGCTCCCCTTGGCGACGTTGCAGCTCTACGAGCGCCATGTGGAGAAGCTGGTGAAACTCTACACAGAGGCCTGGCATCTGATAGCCTTGGCAGATGAAAAGGCTAGGGGAGAGAAGCTCAGCAGGATCAGACTCAAGTTGTCGGCAGATGCGGCAGCAGGCCGGCCCACGCCGCCGCAATGGGACCCAGATCGACCCTGGCCAGCTTGCTTCTATGAACTAGTTCACGACACTTCGTTTTGGGATGATCAAGTCCGTGCTCCCGCCAATGCTTGGCTAGCTCATGGAGGGCGAGGCGCACCAAAGCCGCCGAATGAGAACTTTGCGGCGGCAAACCTGCCAGGCGGAGCGGAGGTGATCCAGGCGCCCACGGACGGCAAGCGCAGCACCAAGGACAGGCGGGCATCTCGTAAGAGGAAGATCGCTGCTGAGAAAGAAGAGCTAAAAGCTCTTAGGGCTAGCGCTAAGTCTAACCTTGCTGAGCACAGAGAGCCTAAGCAGAATGCCTTGAAATCTAAGGACCAAGCTGGTTCGGATTTGTGTTTCGGTTGGGACGCAGCCAAAGGGCCCTGCGCCAGCATAGCGCCAGGCCAGCCATGCAAGGGCAAGGTTGTTCGTCTGCATAAGTGCAGGATTTGCTTGAGCCCGGGCCATAGGAGCTCCGAGTGCCCCCAGAAGTGAGTTGCATTCACGATGACACGTGGGCAAAATTTGTTCCTTCTTGGGCACCAGCATGTCTGTCTGTCTGTGTTGTGTGTGTGTGTGTGGTGTGTGTGTGTGTGGGTGTTTGTGTGGTGTTTGTGTGTGTGTGTGTGTGTGTGTGTGTGTGTGTGGTGTGTGTTGTGTGTGGTGTGTGTGTGTGTGTGTGGTGTGTGTGTGGTGTTTGTGTGTGTGTGGGTGTGGTGGTGTGTGTGTGTGTGTGTGTGTGTGTGTGTGTGTGTGTGTGTGTGTGTGTGTGTGTGTGTGTGTGTGTGTGTGTGTGTGTGTGTGTGTGTGTGTGTGTGTGTGTGTGTGTGTGTGTGTGTGTGTGTGTGTGTGTGTGTGTGTGTGTGTGTGTGTGTGTGTGTGTGTGTGTGTGTGTGTGTGTGTGTGTGTGTGTGTGTGTGTGTGTGTGTGTGTGTGTGTGTGTGTGTGTGTGTGTGTGTGTGTGTGTGCGTGGGTGTGTGTGTGTGTGTGTGTGGCTACACCTTTGTTGCCAGTGAAACATGTCAGTACACTTGCTGCATTGGTGGCCGTTGCCGGGAGCGCCTTGGCGCAAGACGGTTACAGGCTACCATGAGTGCCAGTAGGCAGGCGGCCCAGTCGGCGCGCGCCTAGTCATGGCCAGCAGCTGGCGTGCGTCCATGTCCTTCGTCTTTCTGCACTTGTTTTGCGGCCCCGTGGACATCCTCGCCGAAGAGTTGGCAAAAGCCGGCAAGGAGCAAGGCATCGTGGTCGAGACGGAAGGCTATGACTTGGCCAGGGGGCACGACTTGAGATGCCCTCAGTTAGCGGCCCAAATCAGAGCCAAGGCAAGAGCGGGACATTATGCTGGGGGCCACTCGGGATTTCCTTGCAGCACCTTTTCGAAACTGAGATGGAGGGTGGCGCCGAGGTACCAGGTCCGGTTCGCTCCCGGGCACACATCTACGGCCTCCCAGGCAACACTCCGCAAGAGCAGCGGGAAGCCGATGAAGGTTCCTGGTTCGCCATTGCTTCAACCGAGATCCTCACAGACATCGAAAAGAGTGCCACGCCCGGCTTCGAGAAACCAACCACCGTGGAGAATCCGCCGGAGACAGGGCACAGCCAGGCGGGTTCAGCTTGGTACCTGCCCGAGGTCTTCCGTTGGACAGAAAGGGCGGGAACAGAATTCGCCGACTTCAACATGTGCAAGTATGTGACAGGCGACGAGCCAAAACACAAGAAACCTTGCAGATTTGCCGGCCGGCTCCGGGGGCTACATCGACTTTCTGGATGCTGTGCCTGCCCGCCCGGAACCGTTCATCCACCGGTGGTCGAAACAGCCTCCAAGGGGTCAGCAACCTATCCCAGGGAGCTTTGCAGGCAGTACGCCAAGCTGGTTGTGGAGACGTGGGTCAGGAGCTCCAACTTTAGGCCCTCTTCTTCTCTGCCCTTGGCGCCCACATCGGTCTCTCCCACAGCACTGACAACGCCAGCACCGACTCCCTCGAACTCGCCTTCACCCGCAGCATCCACTTCGACATCATCCACAGCGCCGACAAGGCCGGCGTCTACTACCTCCTCACCAGCACCCGGGGCTAGACAGGATGGCTTTGCCGGGGTTGCCGAAGCGGAATGGCAAGGGGGTGGCGGAAAGCTCAAAGCCAGGGATTCGAAAAGAAAGCGCAGGGAGGAGGAGAACAAGACCGCAGTGGGCGGGCTGAAGAGGCCCATATGGTCACTTGAACGTTCTCCAGGAATGAGGTCACTGGGCCTCCGAATTGACGAGCTGTTCGACCAGGTCGCCTCCAAAAAGCCAGAGCTCAACGGGGCGGCCGCTGAATATGGGAGCCCAGATTTCGAGTTGGACACGGAACTGGTGGAGACCTGGCGCACCGAGCTCGAGAAGTTCTTCAACGTCGGGCAACGGGGGGAGGCTGTGACACTAAAGCCCGCGCTCCATTACAAGTCCCCGGTCCACACCGAACTTCTCAACGCGTGGTGCCGTCGGGGAAATGACCCAGAGAAACATGTCGCTACATGGCTGGAGAAGGGTGCCCCGCTGGGAGCCAACAACACCGTGGAGGTCTGTAACATCTTCCCTCCGAAGGAGGACGATGGGAACATCGATGTGGAGTCGGAGTGCGCAGTCTCGGCGTGGGAGGACAGGAACTACACCAGCTTCGTGGGGGCCCCGAAGGACGCCGGAGAGGAGATGTCTCGTCTTCAAGGACTAGGCTTCGTGAAGAAACTCCCGGTGAAAAGAGCCGAGGAGTACTTTCAAAACCCGGTGGTGTCAAAACTGGGACTCATCGTGAAGACTCGGGCTGATGGTACAAAGAAACGGCGGGTGATCGTCGATGCGAGACGATCAGGCGCCAATGCTCGAGCTGCCTGTTGCAAAGTCTCCCGGACAAGCTACGTGACGAGCTTCTGGAGAAGCTCTCCTCCTGGACCCACAAGGGCATGATCCCGGAAAAGGACCTCCTCACTGTGACCGGCAAGGCAAATTGGATGTCCGGCATTTATAAGAGAGCCAGATGGGCCGTAGCTTCCATGTACGCTGCGCTGGCGGATCATCAGCGTGATCTTCGAAACGGCCGGGAACAAGAACGCCGAGAACTAAGGCGAGACCGGAGAGCCAAGGACCACCTGGTGCCACTGAAAAGGTTCGAGGCGGCGCACGCTTGGCTGGTGGCACTGTTGCAGAAGACCGCCCCTACCACCAAGTGCCCGCTCTGGCTTCTGCCCGAGACCTTGATGATCATCACGGATGCGTCTCCTCAGGGGTGCGGTGGCATCCTCTTATCCAGAACAAACAAGCACATGCCTTGGGTCATCCTCCAGGCCTTCGAGTACCCGGTCACCGAGAACGACGCCAAGATGTTCAAATTTGAACTGGGATCCCACAAATCACAAGCTTTCTTGGAAGCGCTGGCTTTGTGGATAGCACTTGACCATTGGAAAGAGGCCCTCAAAGGCCTGAGCATCGGTCTCAGTCTTAGATCGGACTCCACAGTGGCCCTCTCCGTGACGGATAAGTTCAGCTCGAAATCGCCAATGACCAACTATTTGGCGGGCGAGCTGGCCCTCAAGCTTGAAGCCTTGAAGATTGACTCTGTCGTCCTGTCCCACGTGCCAGGGAAGATGAACGTCTTGGCAGATTTTCTGTCTCGCCCGTTGAGCAGGGGCGAGACTCCCAGAGAGCTAGCCCGACACCAAGGTGCATCGGCTGAGCCCGTTAGAGCCAGAGCGTTTTCTCCTGCCTTGGCTTGAGGCCACAGCAGGGTGCACAGCAGCTTGGCAGGATCTCTTGTAACCAGCGCAACCTGCAAACAAGGGATTTACCGAGCGCATTGCATCTTCCTCCTTTTTTGTCAGTCATGTTCTCTGTACTAAGTTTCCTTTCGGGTTCCTGGTTGAGTACGGGGGTCCATGCCTCTGTGGCTCCAGGACGATTTTTTTTCTCGCAGTTCTCTGTCCCTTCTCTCGCTTTCTCTCTTTCTCTCTTACCGACATCCGTGCGATGCATCCATACGTCTTGTCAGAATTTGTGACTGATTGCACAGGACTTGTTCTGAAATTTGGCAGTCATGGAGATCGTGGTGGCAAACCAACTTAGCCAGGGGGAAGACCCCCCATCGGACTTTTACCTGTCCGAATGGCTCCTCCTCTTCTGCGCGGCATGGACATTGCTCACCCTGCCATGCGCGGCCGTGTGGATCCTTCAATGCTGCTGCTGGGGAACACCGCGAGGACTCAGTGTGGTGGATCAGGCGGTGCAAAACAGGGATCGAACATGGGGAGCCGGACGCCGAGGGCAACTTCCAGGCCAAGAGCAACTTCCAGGTCCCGCTCCAGAATGGCAACACCTAGAACGCCAAGGGCGCCGTCCAGATCGAGGCCAAGAGCAACTTCCAGGTCCCGCTCCTGGATGGCAACGCCCAGAACGAGGGCGACTTCTAGGTCAAGATCAGGGCAACAGCCGCCAAACCTAGGGTCGGGGCATCAGCATCAAAGCCACAGGCCACAGTCTCCACAAGAGGCCCCATCCTGCAGGGGCCCGTCCCTCGAGCTCCCGGCGCGGGCTCGCGTGATGTCGCCCGTGCCTCAACAAGCTCACCCCCGACCTTGGGACCGGCTTCTCCCAGCGCAACCTCCGCAACATGGACTTCAAAGCTCGCAGCTCTTTCCACCGGGCACGGCGCGGGATCAAGCTCATCACCTCCGGCGGCGCCGCCCAGCTGCACAAGAGGCCACGGCACAACATGGTGGAGCATACCCGGCTTCAACGAACATGGGCCCTCTGAGCACCTTCGAAGGCAGGAGCTCAACACCGCCGTGGCAGCTACTCAGGCCGGCCAAGGGCTACGGAGTGGAAGCCGAACCCAAAACCCATTTGGAACGGGTGATAGGAAGAAAATGGGCAGCCGGATCATGAAGCACGTCACGCAAGCTCTGGGCAAAGTTCATTTGCCCTTGGGAGGCATCCTCCCGACCAAGGGCACGGCCAAGGCTGGCGGTGGGCGGGGCACACATCTCGATCCAGACCGTAATCCTCCCCGTGCTGCTCGTCAAGACCTGGCAATGCCCGCAACTCCAAGCAACAGCTCCAAAACCAAGTTCCAAATAGCGCTCGAAGTTGCCGGTGACGAGGTCAAGTTGAAGGGGGCCATCAACGCATTTCGAGAGGGCTTCTACGCAAAGTCCAACCAAGCACCGCACACGAGGCGAAGACAAGATGCTCTTCTGTTGGCAGAGAAGGTGGCGAAAGGCCCTCCGTTTCCCCTCAGCGTGGACACCATCCATGGCTTCTCGGCGGCACTCAAAGTTGCTGGCTTTAAGTCGGCAAAGTCCTACTTGACGGAGCTCAAGATGATTCAGCTCGAGTTGGACATGGACATCTCCACTGCGGCGAGGCGCGCTCTAGAGCTCGCCAAAAGGTCATTGAACCGCAACGCCGGGCCGGCCCGGAGAGCGCCGGAAGCCCAGCTAGAGGACTTCGATGCCAAGGGGAAGTCCAGGGAGCTTGTTCCGAACGAAGTGGCCTTCCCCTACCTCACCTACGCCCTGGCCCTTGTCTTCATGCTAAGAGGCATAGAGTTGGAGGAGCTCACCTGGGAGGATGTGTTCTTCGGCGCTCAAAACGAGTTGGTCTCCCTGTTCATCAAGTCGAGCAAGGTCGACCAAAGAGCACAAGGGGCAACGAGAACTCTAGGCTGCACTTGCAAGAGCCGCAAATCCAGGTGCCCTGTCGAGCTGATAAAGAAGCTGAAGATGAAGCATGAGCTACAATGGCCGGGCTCCACCGCAACAAACACGCCTGTGCTGCGAGACTCAGAGGGAAGGAAGCCATCAAAGGCCACGCTGGCTCAGTCGTGGTCCAACTCGCTGGGCAAAGACGTGCAAGGCCACTCACCTCGCCGCAGCGGGGCAATGCTCTACGCGACCAAGGGGATGAGTGTGGCAGAGATCGCTTTCTTAGGCCGTTGGAACTCCGGCGTGGTGTACATCTACGCGGAGGAAGCTCTGAGCCGACTTCCTGCAAACCAGGCCGGGACGCTTCCTTGCAGAAAGCGGCGCCGCCAAGCTATCCGCCCAACCACCGGTCTCAGCAACAACGCTGTCGCCCAAGTGGGTCTTCAGTCATGGACGTTCTAAGGTGCAGCACCTACTGAACCTGGCTTCAATGGATGGCCCGTCGGCAAGCTGGAGGACCAAATGCGGGTGGCCATTCGCTCGAGGCAGCTCACATTTTACGTTGACAATGTCCCCTTCCCCCCGCTCCAAGTGCGGAAAGTGCAGATGCTCAAAAATCGTGGCCGCGGCAAGCCAGTCTGGGTCGGAGGTGGCGGCCGGGACGTCATGAGTGACGATTGCTGAGCGCTGCAATTCAGAAAGCACAACTTGCACCTGAAGGGAGGAGGGTGGGCCTCCGTACATGTGACGATGTTGCCTCGCAAAACCTGAAAGGATTGTGGGGCATAAGAGTAAACATGTTTGGGCCGGGGGGGTGGGCATCAAATGTACCTGCTGAAGCCTTTTCGGGCCGAGATGGCCTGATATACAGGCTGGTGCAGGCTTTTTGCACCCACCCACCAACCCCCGTGGCGGCCGGGACGTCATGAGTGACGATTGCTGAGCGCTGCAATTCAGAAAAGCACAACTTGCACCTGAAGGGAGGAGGGTGGGCCTCCGTACATGTGACGATGTTGCCCCCCCTGTGGCACGGTGCGCAGCTCGCCCTCGATGCCATCTGACGCGTGCAGGGAAACCATGGGGAACCCCACCCACGGGCTGACGTCGAGCCCGCGCACAGCGCGCTGTCGGCTGCGACTGTCCCGACGCACTTGCGGCCCGCTGCCCGGGCAGCATGGATCTCCCGATGGACTGCGCTGCTCGCGGTCGCGGCGCAGCGCGCCTTCGCCAGCTCCATGCTTGAGTTGCCCGTTACGGACGAGGCCAATGGCGACGACAGCGAGCCCGAGCTTCATGAGGTTTTCGCCAATGCTATGTTCCACATGTTATGTGTTTTGTGTTGCGGCCGTGCCTTCGGGGAAAGGGTCATGAGGTAGCACTCCAAACCGATCCCAAAACACGCTGTCCCGGGGCACTTGCGACCGGCGGCCCGGGCAGGATCTCCCGCTGGACTGCGCTGCGCGCGAGTCGCGGCGCAGCACTCCTTCGCCAGCTCCCTCCTTGAGCTGCCCCTTGCGGGCGAGGCCAGCGGCGACGCTTGCGAGCCCGAGCTTCATGAGCTCCTCGCTGACGGGCGCTGGAAACGGCCGGTCGCCGCAAGTCGCCGCAAGCCGCCTCCCTGCCCGCTGACCCCGCCCCCCGGGGACCCCGACCCAGTGCTTTCCGGCTGGCGGAGAAAACGAGAAAAAACACACGCGAAACGCTGCCACAGTTGTTTGAACGGAACCATCTGGGAACCAATCATCAGAAGCCGATTTGTTGGACCATAGTCTCAGGTGGCGCCAACTTTGCTTGGCGTTGGTTGCGTCCGAACTTTGGTGTGAAACTGAGTCATGTGGCATACTTTGTTCGCTGCATTTGACGCAGTCGTTGGCTGTGCCGAGACCCTTGAGCAGGCTTGGGTGCTGGAAGCCTCTTGATCTTGTTTGCAGCAGTATGCCGATGGAATGCATGAAGGACGTTGCGGAAACATGTTATTTAAAGCTTATGTATTACACATTATTACACCCGATGTCAGCGCTGATAATTGAAGGACCTGCTGCTGTTGCCGGTCGAATTGCTGTATTGTGACCAAGCGTCGTCCTCGTGCATGTGGAGTTGGGTTCGATTGGTTGGTTAGGCGTTGTTGCATCCTGAAAGTTTGGATGTGCTGACTGCACATGTGGCTGCGCGTGCGTGAGTCGAAACATGTGATTGAGCAAGATTGGTTAATGCAATGCAGTTATGAAATGTTATGAATGTGTTAACATCGGGTGTGTTTCAGCCGCTCGTTATGGCCTCCTAGAAAATGGATGCGAGAGGATGTTGATTTGGTGTCGGGCACAATGTGAATTACTGTAGCTGGCAGTAGATACGTCACATTACTTTGACATTGTTTTGTCGCCCTTTATGGACAGCGGCCGCAATGATGTAACCAGGGCCACAAGTTCCGTCAGCCCCTTGCTTGCAAAGCTGTCAGTCGCAGGGTAGGACCGGGAACCAGGCTTTGGCTGGTTTTTTGTTTGTTCCTGGCCGAGGCATTCCCAGCGAGATCTTGTCAGATGCGAGTCCGGAGGCTTCAACGTCTGTTGCAGTGCAGTCCATTGACGTGAAGGCCATTGGGGGCTGGGTCCAAGCCGGACAAACAATCAATCACGTTAAATGGAGGATTCTTATGAAAGCTTGCTACGTATGGGACAGAGGCGTCAATGACAACATTCACATTGGCGAAGGGTGATGAAGGTGCGAAATGCCTAAATTCGCCCAGATTTGGCTTCCCCCATTTCGCCGCATTACGGGTCAAGGCCTGCTTTGGATTCAGCTGCAAATCTCTATGTGCAAGGATGCCTTCAGCCGCTGGGTGGAAGTTGAAACTGTCAGATGTGCGGGCAGCTTGCCGGGTCGCTTGGTGAATATGCAGCTGCTGTCCTGGCTCACGGCGGTCCAGGCAACTTGATTTCAAGCATCCCAGATATCATTGGCGGCAATGACCGTATATGCGCATGCACAGACGCACAGACTTTCGAGGTGCTGCGAAGTCGCCAAGTCCATCTGGGCCGAAGACCCACTAGGACACATTGCCAGTTTTGTGTACACCGTAGGCTAAGTAGGCCATCCGCACAAGCTTGTCGGGAGGAGATGCGCCAGGCATCTGCAGCGCTTACCCCGTGAGGTGGTGGCACTGCCTCTGCTATGTCGTGACTTGATCCGTGCCTTGTCCATGTTGCGCGGTCCGGTATGGCATGTCCAAAGCATCCAGGCGGTGTTCCTATGACAGTGTTACACCAAGGTGCATTCGTTGGAGACCAAAGCGGAGTAGGCGTGACGGCATCTGGCCTGCGCCTGCGCGTCAACCACGTGAGGGTGCAGGAACCTCGTTCGTTTGCAAGTGCAAGGATGCCGAAAAAGTCTGACATACTTGCACCGTGCAGGACATAAGCCATGGATTGTTCCACGAGTTCCAAAAAGCCGCGGACAAAGGCCTCACGGCGTATTACCTGAATCAGAACATCAAACTCATACCGCTTCTTGGCGCATCCCTGGCACAGCTGGGTTCTGGTGCCAGTGAGCTACAGCTCCGTTAGGCAAGTCAATGAATCATAGACCTCCAAAGAATTGGAATCGGCGACCCCCTGATGTGGCCCAGCCGGCTATTGTTGGCCATGGCCACACTGACTAAAACAATGCACAGCTGCATATTGCATAGAAGGCTCAGCGTTTACATTCTTTGTTTGTTGATTTACTCTGCATTTTTTGTATGACCTTGTGGAACCTTCGCTGGTGAAAGTTACGCCCAGGCTGGGGGAGGTAGGATTAAGCAGCCAGGGGAGTTGGGGGAGGTCTGAAAAAAGAATGTTGGCGAGGCTGGGGATGTTCAGGGAACTTCCGTTCAGGGGTAGACATGTGAAGGGCGCTGAAGTTCTGAACGAAAGCAGCCACGGTTTTTGTAAGGTTTTGGAGACCGTGGATGCTGGAGCCGGATGGACCAACATGGATCCGAAACTGCCTGGAAGCTAGGGGCTTCAAGACCGACATCTGCAAGGTCCGTCTGCTGTGGCACTTGCTGAACAAAACAGAGGCCTGCATCTTGCGCTCTTTCGTGTCAGGTCTACCACACGGCCTCTTGACTTTCGCCCATGTGCGTGGGACTGTTGGTGTTTTTGTAATTCATACATATTAAGACATATTTGAACATATTTATGCCATTTATGCATATTCATTTTTTTGCTTACATACACATATGGTCACCCCCCCCGCCCCCCATTTTGATCCGTACCCCTCGTCCTGACTTCATTGTGGCGGTGTTTCCACTGTTTCCTGGCGGTGGAATCGCTTGGTCGTGGCACAGTGTATTTGAAAAAACAAAAACCAACAGGTTTTAGTTCGCTAGTTCCGGGTCGCCTGTATCAATGTCGCCAACAAAACATAGACCTAGCAAGTGCATCTGCGAAGCCTGATTTATATGCATTCATGAACATATTATTTCTCCAGAGGAGGGGCGAAGAATGGCCGCCTTAAGTAACTGGTAGTGCTTAAATCTGAGAGTTCTTTTGACTACAGTATTGTCAAGCAGCCCCAGAAGAAATGGCATAGTCAATGTAATCAATAGAGCTGCCTACACGAACGTACAAAAAGTTCATAACGAGATGGGTTGATACTTCCTTACGGTTCTTCTTTCTTGTGGGGTGGCCCAACATGTAGTCAATTAGTAGAAGTAATACTTCTGGGGCCCCTGGAGAATTACATAATTACCGAGTGCATATAACAAGTATAGCTACGGCTTAACTACAATGAGCCTAGTTTTGCCTCTTACACTGTTTATTGTACTTATGAACATGTACGGAATGTAATGGAACTGAGCGTACCCCCAGCCCATTTTGAAGACACTTTAAGTCTTTAAGTGTTTTTGTTACATCTTTACTGGGAGAGGTCGCCACTTGGGCCTGCCACGTCCCGAGCGCCTTTCTGCGCAGGTACAGTACTCCGGAGCCGAGCTTGTGTAGGAGATGCAGCAAATCGCCGTCACGGAGTTGGAAATTGGAGTGTTATATGTTGCCATTTGTTTTTCCCCACCCTCGGTGTGGGGTTGTTAGATTTTAAACTCAGCTCTTCTCCTCGCCCGGAACTCTTCTCCTCGCCCGGTCTGCTCCCCAAAGCGCCCTGGAGTGCCCAACGTGCAGCCCAACCCCAGAGTCTTCCTAGGGTGTACAAGTTAGAGTGTCCCTCCCACCCCAGAGTCTCCCTGGAGTGCCCACCACCAGAGGCCCAACCCCAGAGTCTCCCTAGAGTGCCCAACCCCACAATGTCTCCGGAGTGCCCAGTTCCAGAGTCTCCCTGAAGTGCCCAACCCCAGAGTCTCCCTCGAGTGCCCAGCCCCAGAGTGTTGCTGGAGTGCCCAACCCCAGAGTATCTCTAGCCAGAGAGGGTGGGGATGTTCGAAGTAAAATAATTTGTTTTTAAATGTTTCTTCGCAAACCAGAACCCTAGCATTTTAAGCCACCTGCGGAAACTGCTTAAAGAATCGATCTTTGGATTTTGCTTAACGCTAGATTTCAGACATGGCTTCCTCACCCCCCGCCCCAACCCTCCCTCCGCAAAGCGCAACTGACTGAGGTGGGCTGCCCCTCCTTGGCGAAATCAAATCCAAGCAAAAGCCAAGCTAAATTTCCTAAGGACATGCACATTCGCATCATCCCATCTAGGCACAACCAGGCAATTTGAATCGCGAACTTCCTTTCAACAGAAGGCGTCGGGTACGGCCCGAAGCCCAACATCCTGGAAGGTGGAAGGGAGAGGTAGTCCGCGGGCACACAGTTTCGTGTACGAGAATAACACGCGGTGAAGCTTGGGCTCACAGTTTCGTGTACGAGAATAACGTGCGATAAAGCTTAACCGTATTGATTTGGGAATGGGATGGAAGAAGCACAACTTTTTAGTTCTGATGTTAACATTTATAGGGGCGACAAAGGTGGCGATTCCCCGCTCTGCATGGAAAGTGTCGAGTTTGTTCACCCCCCATCCACACGACCGGGGGACGGGAGTGGGGCGAGCACATATATATATGTATACAAAGAAAAGACTGTACTTCTTTTGTGAGAGAGAGGGAGACAGAGAGCCAGAGCGTGAAACTGATATGCAAGCGGCAAGGGTTGCTTAGTTTGTGTGTGTGTGTGTGTGTGTGTGTGTGTGTGTGTGTGTCCGGGTGCGTGCCTCAATCTGCTGTCGCGCACTTTGCCAACTTGAGGCTTACGCTGGCGTGCAAGGCTGCAGTTTTTTTGAGTTGAAAGTTTGCTGGTAAGAGGCCAGCGCTGCTCGCGGCAGGAAAAGAGTTCGGCTGGAGCTGCTGTTGCGAGAGTTTTTCGGGTGGCCTTCAATGCTGATCTGAAGCCTTGACAACCCTTGCATATATTCGGTCGTTGCACTGCTGCGCTGAGGCTCTTCCTTTGGCCGACGTGCAGCTTTGGCGCAAGGCTGCAGCCACGCTCGTCGAGGTGCCCATGCAGACGAGAAGGTCATGCGCTTGCACGATCCATTCTCTGTAGACTTGTTGGAGTGTATCGTTTCGTCGCACTTTAGTCGAGTTTTGATGTTAGGCTTGTGAGGGTGCAGTCGCCTCAGCTTTCAGCTGGCAAGTCTCACGGACATTCAGCCCTGGCAGTGTTAGCAACCAGGTCTTTAGCCTTGTGTTCCGCGTCGTTGCGGCGAACCCCGATATGTTGCAGGCACGCGGCAGCTTTTGTTTTGGCAGAACCTATGGACGCAGCAGCTTGCCGAAAAGGGTCGGCTAGCCAATCGAAAAGCCCTCTCGCACAGCTCCACGGCACGTGCATTCCTCAACAAACCATTCTCGACGACCTGAACTGCCTACTTTAAGCTTTAAGAATACCTCGAAGCACCTCGAATCACACGATGATCATGGTGGACTAGTCCAAGGAGTCCATAGGATAGGTGGATGGCACCGGGTGACACATGTTTGCTTTGGTGGGCAAACACTACCCGAGCAGAGTGCCGCCGAGCCCGGTCCATGACACATTCCTCACGTGCCATCTTCTGCAAAGCAACCATCAACAAACCCATAAGATCCCACATGCAGCTTGCATCGTTGCCCAATAGTTTTTGTATGTGGTTTAGTCTGTTTTTCCAACATGCTTGCCCAATGCCTGAAGGTTATTCCCGGCTGGTTGAAAGCAGCACGCCTGTCCTTTGAATGGCGCTGCTGGCATGTGACCACCTTTACTTGCATACTCGAGACGCTGCCATTGTACCAAGGCTGGACATGGACGAGTCAGGGCCATTGCGTGCCTTGCACCAACATCTTGCTGCATCCCTAGTCTTGTGGAAACGGCGTGCAAGCACATGGGCTCGCGAGCTGTGGCGAGCTCGTCCAGGCTTCCTTACTCTCTGCTGCAGAGGCCTTTAAGCTCTGCGCACCGCTGCAGAAGACTCTTTCGAGCATTTGCGTTTCAGCGGCAATTGCTTTTATCACTACTGTCGTCTGGCAGGCAATGCCGGACAGAGGCTGCGAGATCGCTCAGCAGTTGGCAAGGTGCTGACAAATAGTGGTCTCTTGTTGAGCCACATTCCGCACCATTGTGTGGTTCATTGACGCCCGACCATCATTATGCGCATCCCTCACCACATGTTTCTTCATCCTCTCTCCTTTTCGTCCATACAGACAAACAGACTGATCAAACAGACAGTGACAGACAGACGACAGACACAGATAGACACAGACATACAGCAAACAGACTCAGAGAGAGAGGGAGAGAGAGAGCGAGAGGGAGAGAGAGAGAGAGAGAGAAGGAAACTTCGAAGAGAAAAAACCCACACGGAGTCTCATCAACCTCCGCTAGGGCGACTTTTACCAGAACAGTCCCAGAGGGTAAGGGTCCAAGAGTCTCTGCCTGCCAGCCTGCCTGTCTCTCTCTCGCTCTCTCGCTCTCGTGCTCTCGTGCTCTCGCTCTCTCGCTCTCTCGCTCTCTCGCTCTCTCTCTCTCTCTCGCTCTCTCTCTCTCTCTCTCTCTCTGTCTCTCTCTCTTTCCCCCTTTATATGACACCTGCAAGGTACACTTCTATTGTTAAACTGGCCTTCGAAATTTGTAGAGATGTGTGTTGGATGTGTGGATGTGTTGGCCAAAGAGGCCAGTGCGGGCCATCGCTTTGAGAATCAAACAGAACGTACGCAGTTGTCAAGTCAGCTTGTGTTCCTGCCCAAACCTGGGCTAGACACCTACTGAAATCCTGAGGATCACCTTCAAGTTAATGCATGCAGAAGCGACAGAGAGTCCATCCAAGGCGTGAAAGACATGTAATCCTTTTTTGTTTTTGCTTTGGCTTGCAAGCGCAACAGGTTCGTGGATGAATGTGGGGATGTCCAGGTGTACAGGAGCATAGAATCTGGTAAGATGACACCACCCATCTCGTCCAGGTGGGTGCGCTGCGATGTGGAATTGAAGCCACTTCTGCGGCCCTTGCTAGACAGGCATCTGGTATTCTTCCGCTCAACAACAGTGTGAAGGAATAGGAAGTTCGAAAATTCAAAGGCTTCTGCCACTGGCGAAATCGGGCCCGGCTTGCCCTCAACTCTTGCCTTTGCTGGTCTGCAGCTTTTGATGGTGCGACTATGTGCGATTGTCAAAGCACGTGGAGAAGGTTTCGCGCTTCCGAGTTGTTGAGGCCGATCTAGCTTCTGACCGATGGCCGCGGGTTTGTCTTGAAGACCCCGAGGCGACATCTAGCCGAAGGTTATCGTGTTTCCATCATGGTCCTCTGCTGAAACGTTTGAAGGTGGGAGGTATGCTGGACGTGCTGTGCACGGCAGATGCAGCTCTTCTGTGCTCAACTCAACAGTGCCTTGTTGCTGAGAAATTGAAAGCACTCAATTTTGAGGCTTGTTCGGAACATCGCTGGTGAAGAAGATTCGGCCAGCAATGCTGAAGCAGCCAAGACCTTTGGAATTTGACGGCCTATTTGAGAGCCTGGCATGCTATGACAGCAGTTATGCTTGTGCAAACACTGGCATGCTCAAGCTCCATGTCACGGCAGGTCAGCCAACTCATGTGTTCACACGTCCAGGAAAAAGGCTAGTCTTAAGTATCAAGATGTCGTAAGGTTCCTTTCTGTTCTCCCCTTTTCTCTGTGTTTGCCTTGCTCTGTCAGCTTGCAGTTCTGAGGCATTGGCTGTATGGCAGACGCTCGCAGGCACTGCCATGTGCGGCACCATGGAGTGGGAGGAGTGCTGTAGAGGGTTGTAAACCACTGGGAACGCAACCCGTGTTTCAAAGTCACTGTGAAAAAGCAAGAATCCCGGTCAACAAGCTGAGGGACAAGAGGTTAGGCTCGCATTGTACTTGCGTTTCCACACATCATCTTTCTTGGCCATCGAAATCTTCTGTATTCAACAGAGCGGCTCGCATTGAGCTCTGCTCGCTGTTACGTGTCGTATTCGCAGACATCGTTGCAGACGGCGAAGGCACTATGACATGTTGATACATTCATTTACATCAATGGTAAACGCTTGCACTCGCCGCCTCGGCAGCCTTGCTGGCCCAACGCAGCGTGCAGCCTGCCCATCGCAGACAAAGGAAAGCCAAGTCTTAAGAGTCTTATGTTACCAAGCATGAGTCCAGGAGGTTGGAGGGCCCAGGGGAGGATCCCAGGACAGGCCCCAGGAAGGGGGGAATTGCCGGTTGAGGGGAAGGGTTGGGAACCTCTCGGCCAGAAGCCCAGGTGAAAATACATTCGCCGACATTCATATGCTGCATTCATATACATTCGTATACATTAACATACATTACATGCTGTCACGTCTCCAGGACGAGGCAGAGCTCGGGGCTGGCAGACATTCGGAATGGTGGGTCCGCGCCTGTTTGTACCCTTGTCACGAACCAAGTACAGTGTTTGTGAAAGGTGTGTGCGCGCGCGTGTGCTGTGCAGGTCCCAAGCCAGCAAGTCGGGTGCACAGGACGCAGCGCGATTTTCAACAAGACATGCTCGTGATTGGCTCTGTCCCACCAACTGAAAATCGGAGCATGGCTGTCAAGTCCACGGTTAAAGAGTGTGTTTTTTTCGCTCCGGAGAAGGCGAGGCTTGTTCTGCAACAGTTTCGGTTTGGACAGATGGTCTTCCTCTGAAACTTGGTCCTAAGCCAATTGTGTGAGCAGCTTTTTTTGAGCAATTTTTGCGCCGAGGTCTTCAGCTGTCCAGCCTTTCCTGGACTTTTTGCACGCCTGGTGCCAGAGCTGCTCAGGCCCATCTCTGAACCCTTAAATGCTTTACTGGGCTTTACTCCAGCACTTCCCCATTCAGGCTGCTGCAATGCCCCTCCATGCACGAGCACCCGAAACCAGAGGCAGAGTTCATCCATTCATACTTGTGCAGTCTGTGTGTGCCCTGGCCCTAAGCCATGGTGCACGCGTGCGAAGCACTCGAGTTGCAACGTTAGAAGGCCGTGGTGCAAGTTCGTGCCGCCGCTCAAACTGCCATCGCGGCTTGGGCAGCCCTGATGGGCCAAAGCCTCAGCAGAGTCTCTGCCTTCTGCAATTTGCGCAGACAGACACAGCATAACACAGCCAGGTGAGACCACGGCCTGGGTGGAAGCTACTTGGACCCCGCTGCAGCCTTGGAGCAGCCATGACATGGCCAGTTCACACAGAAATTATCAAAAAACATTTGATAGATTCTGATGCGTTTTATTTTGCCATCCTTGAGGCTGCAGAACATAAAGCAGCGATTGTCGGCAGAACGTGGCAGCCACAGCAAACCAGCTTTCGTAAAGCGGATCCTACACAGTAGCCTCAGTAGCCACAGCCAGAGAAAGACATCCGACCTGGAGTGCGTAGCTGTAGCATTTTGCAGTTCTTTCCAACATTTGGGGTGTTTGCTTTCGCGGCAATTGCGAGACTTCAACAGATAAGTTGTAAACTTTATGTAAACAGCTAAACACAGCAGAAGGCCATACTTTCTGTGGCAGGCTTCATCGGTGAGAGCAGTAGCCACACCACTGGAAACTCAAACTTCAGGTCCAAGCGAGACTTTGGCCAAAGACGTCGAAGTCACGTTGGCTCTCAGTGGATGTCAGCATGTCAAATCATGCCATGCTTGAACTCGTTCAAGTTTTGGTATTTCCGCAGTAATGAACAAGTATTTGTGGTAGTGCTTAGTGCACCAGTGGCCAGGCTGTGGTTCTCGTACACCTTGGCTGCCAGCTGGCCAGAGCGGTCCGCACCAGCAGCGGCTGTTGTGGCTTCCCCAGCCTGGCAGACACAAAATACATCAAAAAACAATGCACGGCTTATAACGGAGAGTCAAATGTCAGTTCTGATTTGCTCCAAAGAAGAAACGTCCAGGTCTTGGAAATTGGTGATCGCTTGGATGGCTTTCCTCCACCCTGGCGCTCGCTATTGTGGATGCAGGCGAGGAAAGTCGTTCCACAGCTGGGTGATAGCGTGCAACATTGCCAAGTGTTCCACGTCACTGGTCGTGAAGTTCGCATCATATTGAGATGTTTGCGGCTGTGCTGGCTGAGAAAGTTATGGCTTTGAGAACGCTTGGAGCCCATGCAGGTAACCGGCAGGTAGCTAAGGTAATTCATCCGCTGCTTGTCCACAAACCCATCTTCACCTTACCATACGCAAAATCAGACAGAGTGTGAGTATCTGCCAAACCTTGCGCTTCCAACTTTCGGCTGTCCCTGGGTTCGAATGACGAGCCATGGTGAGTCCTTGGACAGCTCAAACTTCCAGAACTTCGAGGCCGGACTCGTGGAAAAAGAAAAAGCACCTCTTCACTTTGACTTACCTTGATCTGTGAGCTGGACAGAGGTTCTCCAGCAGGAAAAGGACAAACTGGCGGTGCTGGTGCTGGGCGGTTCGAAATTTATGGGGAAGGCCTGCTTTTGCCGCGCTGTGCCTGCCCGCGAGTTTGTGCGCTGTGAGATCTTGCAAAGGCCTTTGTGGAGATGATTCTGGACCAAGCTCGTCTCACGTCTCATAGTTAGGTAGAGTGACTTTAAGTGACTTTCAACACGCTCCGTGCGTGTTTCTTGCTCAGGTGTCTGCACCGTCAACCGTGGGAAGACTTACTGGGCCGCTCCAGACCCTTTCGTGCCATGTCTACCATCATGAGGTGTCACTTGGAACTGGGTCAAGCTTGGCCTTTAGCCTTTGCGCCACTGGGCCTAGGCTGGCCGAGCGGCCCGTGTTCTTGCGGACAGGGACAAAGGTGACTCTTTTGCAGCACACCTGCGAGAAGCCACTCGTCGCTTAGGCCATCCCAGAACGCTCGAACGGCTTTGCTTCGGCACGCCCGCTTTTGTGTCCCAATGTATGCGTCTATGGTGGTTCTGAAAATCGCAGCTGCTAGGTAAACGCTCTGGTTTGCGTTACAAGTATTGAAGAGTGGTGAGCTAGCATGCCCGTGCAGATAGTGCGCATGAATCGAACACATCGCCGAGCACAGGCATAATCCCTGGCCTTGTCAAACAGCTGGAACATGCTAGAATCGAAGCAGCCGGTGTCCGCCAGGCGCAGAGTGGGACTGCGTTGTGGACTTCTCTGGCTTTTGCGGAGTCTGGGCTTTAAGCGCTACCGCACGCGTGCACTGGCATTGCGGGGCTTCACCTGCACACAGGAATGAAAGTAGTAGGGAAGCCATGCGCTAGTGGAGCAGGCAACCCCAAACCGAAAAAGGGTTCGATTGGTTTGGTGCCTACAAGAAAGTCGTCACGCTGTGCCACCACGGTCGGACAAGCAGCACACGCGATCGGACAAGCAGCAGACAGAGCCATCAGACACTGATGTCTAATCTGTGAGATTGCTTGCATGGTACCCGACATCTCGCACGAAGGGAAATCGGCAAACAATGCGATAGTCGGTTTGCTTAACAAGACGTTTCCACAAGTCATCCCAAGCTAGGAAATCATGAGGCAATGGCAGAAAGTGCGCCACCGCGGGGTTCTGCATGCATTATTGCGAGCTGCCATCATGAGGCCATGGAAGGCATTGCAAGCATAAGGTTTTCACTTGCAGCCCACCTTGCTCAGGCAGTGAAGTGCGGAGGGGCACGACACAGGCAGATCATTGCTAGATCCCGACATCAAACAATGCCAACGACCAAGGAGGTGATGTGCATGCCTCCCTACACGGCCTGGATGGTGTGCCTTTCTCAAGACCATCGTTTTGTGGAACATGTGGTGTGCTCCAGGAAGCCCACCAGCCGAGGCATTCAAGTTGTATGTCTACATCTCCTCTGACTCAGTGTATGAGGTCAGAGGTGGTGTGGGTGAGGACTTTAATCAAATTTAATCAGCAGTTCAAAAGTCCAAGATCAATGTTTCGCCGCTCTTCCATGTGAAGCTGTCCTATACTGCTGTAATACTGCTTCGTCCGGAGGGTTGGACGGCTACCGCAACTGTCAGTTCTTTATCGGAGGTGGCACGGTTCTGTGCGCTTTTGCCGCTATGGCAGGTCAGCAGCTGGGCATACGAGAAGTGGAAGCCGAGGTCACCACGTTTTTTGAAATTATGACACATAAATCTGGCCTAAATCGGAGAACAAGTCTAGATCTCTGAAGTGCGGCTTAGCTGACGTTTCTTCTCAGGCGGAAGCCGGGCGCGGGCTACGAAACCTTCGTGGTCGAAGACCACGCAGTTCGACCTCTTGCCAAGGACGTTTGTGCAGGGTCTTGAGTCGTGGATCGTGGCAGCTTTCGGGCGTTTCACATGACCCCTCCCTAGCAAGCCCCAGTTTCGGCTCGAGAAAGGGGTCTGCTTGAGAGCACACTCCAGCAGCTTTCACACAGCCAAACCCCCTGTTTCGGAAAACTGGCTCCAAAGGCAGCAACGAAAGGACCCCTCGGCGTCGCCCAAGGTTTCTCAGCCGGGAAGATGAAATGCAAGAACCTGAGCTGGATCCAGCCTGGTCCAGCCTTCGCTCGCGATGTCTGGCGGCAGAGTTTCCATTCTGAGCTGCTTTATCTGCTGTCCAAAGAACTCATTTTAACAAATCCAGTATATGTTACTGTAGTGAAGACTGCAATGTTGGGACATTTACCATTCCGTACGAAGATTCCTTAATTATGGATTCGCAAGGCTTTCGGTCGTAGCCATGAGTGCCAGGTCTGAGAGTTTTGCTAAGCCATTCCGGCCAGGACATGTAAAAGGAAATCCAGATAGTACTCTTAGTTGTTTTGAGGGGCCGGGGGTTTTCTTTCCTATGTTACCACAGAGGAATAGAGGCTTAAAAAAAAAAGAAAGAACGAACATAACGTCCAAACCCGTCGTACGAGTTGCATGTGGGAGGTTTTTTTTCAAAATATTGGGGGGGGGGGGGGTTGCTGCGCCTGCCCCAGCCCCCCTCTGCTTCTTGGTACTTAAATTGAAGCCTCGAGCTTGCTTTATAAAGCAGATCATGCCAGAAAGAGTACTTGCTTTTGGCAAACCCGTCATGTGAGCATTGTGTTTGCAAATCGGAGGGTTGCCAACCTCCCCCCCCCCGCCCCTAGCTATTTTATGTTGAAGCCTCGCAAGCTTCCGTTAGTAAAGAAGGTCATGCCATAAAAGAGGACTTGGGTTAAGAAAACATTCGATTGCGTTTCCAAACCCGTCATGCCAGTGCTGCATGTGAAATGGGAGGCCCGCCCCAAAAAACCCCCCCTTTTTTCCACATAGGAGTTGCGTATGTTATTTCTTCTCACTTATTTTGAAGCCTCGCAAAGCGTGCGCCTAAAGCCAAGCCATGCCACACCCTAGTCACCCCAGTCCTGCTGGTACCAACCACAGGAGCAGCAAGAGATTGTCAACAACAACGACGGTTACGGCAACGAAAAGCTGCAAGGAGAAGAGGTTCTTCAAAAGGAGCTCCCACCAAACATCTCATGGACCTTAGTCGAGCTACGTGTGCGACAATCTTTGGCTAGGAATTGCCAGCTGGCCGGAAATGCTTTATTCTTCGGCTGCCTGATGTCATTGGCCCTTGCGACTCTACGCACCCCGGTCTCAGGGTAGTGAAGACGTGAAGATTGTGCGAGCTTGCGCCATGGCGTGAAGATTGAGGCACCGTCTCTGGGCATATTGGCATTGGCTGCGAGCTGGCGAGGTTGGGGCACCCCCGCCTCAGGTTCAAAGCTACAAGCGCAAAAGGCAGGGAAGAGTTGAAGAGCTGACCAGGTCACAGAATTCTGCCCTGCCAGTGAGCAAATTTGAAGGAAAAGCTGGGATGCGAGTGGGCAGGAGATCGCGCAGGCTCGCACTTCATTCTCGCCAGCGTGCCTTTTCTTCTGCAGTTTTGTGAGTGCACTCGGCAACCAGTGCTATTTCGCAGCTCCTGGCTGAAAAGTCAGGCCTCCGGTGATGCCAGGCTAGCTGTTGTCTACAGCTTGGACGTTGCAAAGTCAATTGGCAAACAAGTTTGATCGTGGTGCATCTGTAATTACTACAGGGTTGCAAAGCTGCTGAGTCGCTTCCCTGCGCATTTGGGCATTGAGGTTTCTACTGCGCCTCGTTACAGGTTCCACACCTGCCAAGGATGTGGAGGTCGTCAACTTGTGTTGATTGGCCCTTAGTTTCCTGGTACAGTAGAGAGTCGTTTCAGAGTCTACACTTAAATTGCTGAGCTTCCGTGGACATTTCTCTGACATTGTGCCGAGGTGACGAGCAGCTTCAGCTCAGCGAATTCCTCGAACGATTGTTCGCTGCAGCCGGGGGCAACCGCAAGCGGCCCCGGCTCGTGCCAGACAGGAATCCGTATCCTGGCCTGGTGTTTTGGAGAGAGGATGAAAGAGGGGTTAAAGAAGACGGGTTAAACAAATCAAACGAATCCATTGGTCGTGCAAATTGGTCACGCAACAGTGTTGAGGAAAGTTTACCTACCCAGCGTCGATCGTCTCTGGCCTTTGAGTTGCGAACGTGCTCGACAGGCGCAGCAGCTGCAGGCATTAGACACTCGTTAGACGTGGCCCAAGTCGGCATGTTTCTCAGCTTGCAGTCGTGGCGTTCTCAGGCTTACGGTTTTGAGCCCACGCCGCTTGACGAAGTCCTGCACGTTTGCGTGGAATTCTTCGAAGCTGGCTGTGCCACTGGGCAAGGAAGAGACTGTATTTGTTCATGCTTCCTGGTGATGTCTGGCGATGCCCGCTGGCATGTTTGTTTTGTGCTCGTAATTAAGGCCAAGTTCCCCGAAGAAGCCAAAAAAGCAGCGTTGAAGCTTCCGTCAGAGCCTGCCGCGACTGCTCTCAAGATTTTCGGGTGCACAAGTAGCCCGTAGCAGCACAGCGTGCGAATCGCTTCAACGTGCGAACAAATTGGGCCAGCTGCGTTCGGAGGGCAATCGGCAGGCACAGAGGCAAGCAGAGCGCTTCAGTGCATTTGTGTGTTGCGTAGGCATGCTGCTTGGCATCGACCGGGCCTTCTCATCTCAGCACAAGGCATGGCTTCTGGCGGCATGTGATGGCCTGCACGACGTCAGTACGAAGGCTGATTGAGTGGATGCTTCAGCGACCGCCGCAACTCGCTGATGCCCCCGCACAAGCCTTAGGAATTCCAAGGGTGGACTGAGGATGCGGCTTCTTGTTTCGATTCTGCCTTTCGGCTGTAACATTGGAGGCTTTGCTGGGCATGACGGAGCTGCCCTATGCGCCTGGCGGCTCATTTGCTTTCGTCATTGTAGCTTGTGATTTTGCCCCTTTTGAAGTTGATGTTGCAGAGCACCTCGGACTCAGGTCGAGCCTCGAGATGGCTTGCCGCCAGCTGCCGCCAACAGCTGCGTTTGCCATGGCAGCGGAAAGACTGCTAGGACTGGCCCTGGCTGAGGCCCGAGGCAGTATCGGCGCGTTGTTTTGTCCGGGCTTATCTCTCATCTGTTTCTGCAGATTCCTGCCAACCAGCATCCGCAGAGCGCAGAAGCAAAAGTCAAAGCCTCAACCGAAGACCTCTTGCGAGGATAGCTCAAAGCTCTTGTCTCAACAAAGATTAGATTCCGAGAATGCAAGCAAGAGGCTCGGATGTTGCGGGCGATGAGCCATGCGTGGAGCTTTCTGAGATGAACACGCGTGATGTTGGAATTACTTCACTCCAAACTCCAAAAGCCACTTCAGGAAGTGCTTCAGTTAGGTCATGGGTGGAGATGCTGCTCAGCTTTGCGAAGCACTGCGTCGTCAAATCCTGCGTTGCCCTAACACTTTGTTTCTTCGGTGTTACTCGTCAAGCAGGGCGGAGGGACTGTCATGTTTTCTCACGGCCCTTCAGGCCATCCCTGCGTGCAACAGCGCAGGGCGAGGCCGCTGGCTTCGGACACTTTCCGATGACTGCTCATGTCAAAGTTGCGGCGAGATACTTGACATACAAAGAGTCGCCCACATATGACAAAGTTGTGACAAGCAATAGATGAGAAAGAGAGAGAGAGAGAGAGAGAGTGGACATGACAGACTGGCTCCATTGCCACGCTCGACACTTAGCAATTGAGTACTGGTACAGATGCCTTCATTTCGACTCAGTATGCCATTGATATTGCGATTGCCCACAGAATCCTGTCAGTCGCGTGGCTGAGGCGCATGATCTTTTCAATTCTGCATGCCGTTCTTCCTCGGAAGGGTGGCAGAGACCTGAGACCGCCTGATAGAATCAGGGTCATTTTGGTTCCCGAGCGCGGTCGAGCCAGGGGAAGTGGGGCTGAGTCAGGCCGCCTGAGTCGAAAACGGAGAAGCCCTGAGTCGAAAATGCCGATTTTTGCAAACATCCAGCAGCTTTGTTCCCTGACTACAGCAGCAGATCCGCCTCTTCAGTTGCCATGTTGGCACGAGCTGATGTCACGAAAGACTTCGCTTCATTCAAGAGCCTTCGTCGGTTTAACTTGTCTTTTTCTTGGACGAACAAGAGTCGATGAAAAAATACAAAAACTTCGTTTATTCTCGCGAACGCACAACAAACCCATCACAACATGGACATTTTCTTAGAGGGCAAAGGCCAGAACTGCTTGACGCAGCCCCGAAACTCACAAATCAAAACGTATAGACTTTGGAACGATTATGTGGAGACAGGAGACATGTATCCAAAGTAGAGTTTTTCGAGCAAGGTAATCAGAAAGGTATGTGCTTCGGAGCCCTAAAAACTAAACTTTTTGTTCTTTCAATTTGTTTGGATTTGGGAGAACGTGAGCTAAGGCTCAGGAGTTTCCGGACTCCTCAAAACCTTACAATCTGCATCTTCAGGAAACGAAGGACAGTACTGGGACACTGCGCGCATGCGCGGCACGAAAGGGGGAAGACCAGCCACAAAGAGACGTGAGGGTGCCCATGCATACGCGCGGAGTGTCCCAGCCCCATTCTCGGAAAAGACGATATACGGCTCACCTCGCAAGCAGAAACAGCAGCAACTCTACGACTGACAACCTCCCACCTCCCAACCTCCCAACCGGCCCGCTTTCTGACCCCGTCACTTGCCCCAACGCCTACAAGAGGGACCCGAAAGTAATTGTCACAAGTCACATGACTGTCAGAAGTCGGGGTAACCAAACAGTTCTTATCATGCTGCACTTCCATGAATGCTTGGCATTTGGTACGTGTGCAGGTGAACCAAACCCTGCCATCTCATTGTGGAGAGAGTACTGGGACTTCGTGGCCTCCCTGTCCTGTGGGATCCTGTGGGGATGGTGCGGAGAATGTACTAAATGGATCAATGGAGCTGCCGGCGCGTGCTTACTTCAGACACGTCAAAGTTATGATGTACACAAGGGCAGGCACGAGAGGTATACTCCAGTTGGACCACATTCGGGTTGAGGTTTTTGAACCGACTATTGGCACGTGTACCGTATAGTATAGTCTTGGACCCTTGGAGCCCCTGGACCCTACCCTAAGTAAGATGCAGTGATCCGCTTCCCACTTAGTATATCCAATGGTCAGTGTCTGGCATGCCGCGGCCCAAAGTTGGCGCGCCGCCACCACCACCACCCAAAGCCAAACCAAAGGCGCGCCATGGCACACCATTTCTCAGCATGGCATGCCACATATATATATATATGTATATATGTATATATGTATATATGTATATATGTATATATGTATATATGTATATATGTATATATGTATATATGTATATATGTATATTCAGACATATTCAGACAGCATGGCGGCAATCTCCAGTCACGATCTGAACCACACGTGGCCTGTGATCACTTAGTGGCCTCCGGAGTTGTGCAGGCCACCAAGTGGTGTGAAAAGCGCAAGGCTTGTGGATCTTGCTTGCTTTAGACGTGCCTTCGAACCACACCTCGTTCGGCGAATTGGGGCCTAAGCGCTTGGCCAGAGGCCTTTGCAATGTTGATTGATGTCGATTTTTTTGCGCAAGGCAGAGCAACGCTTACAACGACTCCTGAGCTTTCAAATCGTCAACCGGCAGCCTGGACGGCATATTTTGCTTTTTTGTGCATGCTTTCTTTTCAAAATCTCTGTTTCAGCACCACATGGTTCATGGCGTATTCGTTGGATTTGCATTTGCGAGCCAGAGAATCACGCCGATAATTTTGCAGTTTCCTGTTGCCATTGCTCTTGCAAGGTGGCGGGATGATGCGGTTAGCGCCCCTCTAAGCTCCAAGCTGGACTGGAGCACGATCGACTCTGTCGTCTACCTTGATGGAGGCACAGCCGTTTCTGGCTTGCGAGGCATGTTGCATGAGGCGATTGCACAGTACTGACAGTACTCGTACCAAAGTCGTTGTTGAATGCTCTCTAAGCTCGGCGGTGGAAAGGCAGTCACGGTGTTCTGCTTGCACGGTTCCACAGCGAGCTGCCTGAGCCGCCGCGGCTGTGCTGCTTGAAGCCTCAAAGAATGGAGGCTCAGGCCGAGCTGCCCCTCGGCGCCGACAACACGCGGTAGAGATCGCGAAAGTCGTGTTCAGCTCGAGATCGCTTCGCTTCAGCTATCTTGAGCTCCTGTGTATTTCTGTTTTTGTTGTCGTTCGTTTTCTGCTCAGCATGGAAGGCAAGGCAAGCACCGCATACTCTGAGAGTTGTTGAAAGGTGTGCCAGCATCCTGGCCGACGCCCTGCAAGTGCGGACTGCTCCGCTAGAGGTCGTCCCGCTATCATCTGACATTAGCCAGGCCCTGCGCTCTTTGGTTGCAGTATTGCAAGTGGGGAGACCCGTCGCTTCCTCAGAGATCAACTGCTGAAGCAATTTGATTTGCCACACAATCCGAAGCATTGGCAAAAGCCCGTCCGGTATCTAGTGATGGTAGTAGATCTCCTTTGAAGTCAACATGCTTTGGTCTGGAGTCTTGCGATTGTAAAGACAAGAACCCATCGCCCAAGTCGGTGAAATCGGGACTCCAGCCGGCAGACAGGAGATGCTCGGCTAGCAAGAGATGGCCATCGTGAGTACGTGGCGGCTTGTCAGAACGAGAACAGTTCAGAGATGATCAGCATTTGTCATGCCTTCAGTAAAGGATCGGCTGCTGGCTGAATCCAAGTACCTGGGTATTGTGGAATTTGTGAACGGCCCTACGATGGAGCAGGAGGAGCGAAGACGAATCGAACATTTGACAGGCTCAGCGCAGCAAAGTGAAATAGTGCAAAGCAGTGCCTAGACGGCGAAGTCTGCAAGGCGCCTTTGGAAGCACATGTGTCGTCTGGCACTGACGGGTGATCCGCAAGTTCGATCCCGTGAGTAACATGTGCGATGCAGCCTGTAGACTTGCTCCAATCGGCTGGCTTCATTTTCACGAAGTCGTGTCGAATTGCAGGCAGAATTGCAAGGCTCATGAGTAAGTAGTGGTCTGCATTGGCTAGCATCAGTCTAGCATGGTGCAAAGAGCATGCAGGAGTTTGTGAAGATATTCGATGAAGGATCCGGGAAGTTGGACCGCTTCTGGACTGAAGCCGGAGTCCTCACGGCGTTCCTGGGCCTGGTAGTGATTGGGCATTCAGTACGTTTTACGACTGCATCTTCACTTTGCGACACGATCTGTCACACAAAGTCTTAGTCGTCCCTCTAGCCTTTGACATCGGCAGCAGTTCGGGAACTTGTAGATGGCAGGTTCAGTTCGGATGGCGACTGTAGCTGTGCTTCGGTTGCGGCGGCAGGTTTGATTGCTTAATCAACAACTTGGACCGGCTCCCCATCATCTGGAACAATTCCGGCAATCTGAAGTGTCCCGGTAGCGATTGTTTGGTTGTGCCGACCTTCTCGAGACTCTAGCCGCCCTGGCCTTGACAGATCTAGATTTCCCAGGAATCTTATGGTGGAAGTTGGCTGTGCTGCCGGGCCTCGAGTGGTGGGCATTGACCAAGCAGCTCCTGGGATGGCTGAATAGAAAACTTTTCCTTTCCGGCTGCCACTGTTACCCGCAACGCAGACGTAACTTCGACATTGTGCTATGTCACGCCTCAAATGTCAGCAGGTCCGCGGCATAAGTGATTCAACAGGGCTGGAGCGCTACATCGAGCAGCTGCAATGCCTGTTGAAGGTTGTTCTGGGTTCTGAGACAGACTGGCTCAAGAGTGATTGTCTACAACGTGTACAAGCGGCAGTGCAGGCCAATGCTCTGCCATCCCTGAGTTAAGCGAAGGGGGAGGGACGCATGAAGTGTGACGAGATGTGGTGAGTGATGAAGTGTGCAGTTCATCTCAATACGATCCTATAGGCGAATGCAGGCGTGAGGTGTGTAAGCGAGAGCCGTGAGCCGAGCCGATCAAGGGTCGCAGAGGCCAACTTCCAGGACAAGTTCCGAGTCCATGCCTTGGCCATGAAAGAGGGCTTGCAGAAGGCCAGGGTCTCTGCGCTCGTCGTTTCATGGCTTTCAAAAATTCTTGAAAACAAAAACTCTCACGATGGCATACTACATAAAGCGCTGATTACGTTTGATCCTGCAGGCCTTTCGCTGTTTTGCGTGGCGCTGGTGCAGTGGAGCCTTGCAGAGATCTTTGGACGAAGCAATGAACAAGGCAGTAGCATGGGTCACGAAGCGCAGAGACATGTTCATCAATTCACGTGAGCAACGGGCCGTGACAGCGTTGTCCTATGGGTATTATCTTGGAGGGTTCATGTGGGGATCTAGTTTCTGATGGCATCTGTTCTTTGCGGTCGCCCTTATTGTGCACTTCACTTCATACTTGCCAATTTGGAGGAACGTGCGGCATGATCTATCTACTTTACTCTCGGACGGCACATGCTTACAACAGGTGATGGCGACATTTGGCTGCAGCGATGAACAGCTGTGGCCGTTGCGAAATATGGTGGAAAAGACGGCCAAAACTGTTGCAGTGCCTCGGTTCGCCTATGTTCGCCTGCTCTTCCTTCGAACCCTGTACCACAGCTTGTCAGACCAGGTTCTTGAGCATATTCTGCGCGCGTGACACGCCAGGACGAAGTGCAGAAAATCCAGCTTCACCACATGCCAGATCCTATCGTGCAGATCTTTCGAGCCTTGTTCGTGCATCATTATACGCTTGTGCACCACTGGTGCAACCTAGTGAACCTAGTGATGCTTTACTTCCTGCCTCCTGCCTGCAGTAATCTCAAATCACCACAGCATACACCGCCTATGAGCCGAGGCAAGTGTATTCCATCCGGTCAGATAGCACGTGACGAGATGCTTCGACTACTTCAGCATTTAGAGCCGAGACTCGAGATGAACGCGATACAGATGTTCTTGGATTCTTTCTCGAACTCCGAGGCAGTCGATTGCTGCGGCCTTAGTAACACTTAGGACTTGGGGTCGCGAGACTTCACGAGCCCAGCCTGAGCCCGGCTGAGCTCACAGGGAAGGCAAATCATGATTCGTTACGTCACTGTCTGACCGCCAATTGTTAGGTTCCGAGTTCCTGCTGCTCATCTGGGAAGGCCCGCAACTTGCCAAGTGACCGGCGGCTCTTACAGCGTACCGGAGGACCTGGACATAATATTTTCTGTGTTCACGGTGTGCTAGAGTCGGTCCTGGATAATTCATGGCAGCCGGTGACGGCTGGTGTACAAACTATTCTTGAGCCGCCACCTAGCGCACTGGACCTTGCAAAGCAATGGTTCCATGTCGGCTGTGTTCTGACTCCGATGTGCCCGTGCAGCTGCAAAATGAAGAAATGTGCTTAAGCGCCGCTGCTATTTTCAGCAAAGCTTGTGAAATTAGCAGCGGCGCCTAAGCACATGGCTTTGCTTGTCAGTGGCATGTATATGCATGTATCGAGTAGCATGTATTGATCCGACTGCAAATGATCTTTGGCACCCCCCCAGACTTCGGCATGACTTGCGCCTATTGCCAGGAAAATGCAGTTCTTCACTGGCCCTGTCAAATGGCAAAGGGCCCATCTTCCAAACCGTGGTATGACAGCAATTTGTTCTCCTTCTTCTTTACACATCAGGGACCGGTCCAAGAGCCGTTGAGCTCGTGGAGTTTAGAGAATCGGAGGAACTGTGTTAAGTCCAGGCGGCTGATGGACGCGAGCAGCCGCTCGACGCTGCAGCTGAGGCATTCCTGTATGTTATCTGAAGTTGCCTGGCTTCCAAGATACACTCATACGGAGTCTCTCTCTTTCCGCTGGTTCGAGGGTTCAAAGTCCACCACATTTGCATCCCGATGTCCAGCTGCCTGAGCTCTATAAGGGAGCCTTCGTAGCCGGTGAGCCCAGTAAGTCGGCACATTTCGGGCCTGCATGGGGGCTGGGGGTGCGGGGTTGTCCGGACAACTCGGGTTGCCTCGCTGGGCCCGTAGGGGGGCTAGTTGGTTTACGCATAATCCTGACACAAGCTTGCATCTCAGTCCGCTTGAGGTGAAACGAGTTTGTGTCCTGTTCCGCCGGTCTCCACCTTCTGTCACCTGGTGTTCTTTTCCAGTTTCTCGGAGCAAGGGTAACCTGCAAGTTCGAAAGTACAGTGATTGTGGAATGCAACAGTGACAGTTGGTGTTGTGTACTGTTGCCGTCGCTTTATTTTATGCAGAAAGCGCCTTCCCGGCATAAAATGGAGCAAAGAGAAGTATTGCTTGGTTGGAGGCGCTAGCGGCTGTGCAGCGCTCGGCTTGAGCGAACGTATGCTCCGCTCGATGCTGTCGCCATCTTGAAGTCATCAGGCCGGTTCATTGCCTGGACTGTTCCAGGAGGCCGTGCCATCCGTGTCGAAGTACCATGATGCCTGCCGAATCTGACAGCCGCCTGAGGTTCTTCAGCTACTGGCTCTAGGGACCAGTCGGCGCCAGAAATCGGGAGCAGAGGTGGCACACGTCATGGGATCGACAGTCGTGGACATGTCGTGACATATGGGCGACTGCTCGCCCGAAGATCCCACGACCAATATGGCTAGTGGCCAACATATCCAACATTGAACGACATGCCTTGGATCACCGCCAGATCTGTCTCGCTGCTTTGGAGTCGGTGATGCAGCACCTGCCATGCGCTCGGAGACTCGGGTCGAATGCCGAATTGCCGAATCGTCCGGTTTCTCGAGTTCTTCCTATTTCACTGGCCAGGCCGAGCCCTCCGCTTGACCAGGCGGTGGCATCAAGAGCAATGGCAGCTGCAGTGTGCCAAGCAACGGAGGACACGAGAGCCAGACGCTGTCCTTCTGTGTGCCATGTGCAAGTCTGCTAGGGTGGGTTGGAATCTGTGTCCTGCTGATTGAGCGACAGGCTGTTCTCAATGAGCCGGACAGCTTGCAGAATCCCATGGTGTTGAAGGCGGCATGCCATCTGAGCCCACCCCTAAACTCTAAACACCCCGGTCCACGCCACCCCCACAGAGCGACTAGCAGGATCATTTCCCAAACTTTAACTGTTTATTTAGAACTCGAGCGGCTCCTTGCTCGGGCTTGGACTTGCAGGCGCTCTTCGCACTGTGGTCTCGTGGTCTAGCAGCTGGACAAGCCGCAGCAGGTGCAACATTCAGGACAGCTTGAACGCGTATCATGCACCTTTGCTGAGGGTTGCTGCGCCCAAGCCTGCTGGCCAACTGCATGCAACGGCCCGAGCTCTATTCCGCTGCTCGATTTTCGCAACCCGGCAAGATGCCACGGTGGTCCGAGCAGGGCTGAAACGTGCACAGCTCGTCGGTTCAAGGATTGTGGATCGCCTGCTGGGTGTGTTCTGTGAAATGGTGGCTGGCCTCGTTCCAAGCAGCCCCGGGGACAGCGTGCGATGACATGGGCTCCATGAGAAGTGTACCAACATGCCAACTGCCAACTGTTTGCTAAGTTCATGCCGATGAGCGGATGTTTCGCTGGCTGAACCTTCTGCTGCCTCGCGTGTACTGCTCAACCTGCCGGCAAATCAAAGTCTCACCCAGTGCTGCTTGCCAATAAAGTTCTGAGGATGGACAAACGGAGCGCCACATTGCCGCCTCGATTCTGCAGGCCGTAGATTCCGTAGATTCTGCGTTTCTGGCAGAGATCGAAATGACACCAGGACCAGGCAATACCAGGCATGTGTCCGCAGAGCTTTCGGAGGCCTTGCCATCCATCTACGCGGCAATGTTCCAAGCCTTAGCCCTGCAGGCTAGATCGGCTAGATGCGGCTACTCACGCCGGCTGCGAGTCATGTAAGATATGGAGCTCTAAAAATGTAAGTGTATCAAGGTGCTTTGAAGTGTGCCAACGTGCTACTGCTAAGTCTGCTAAGTGCAGGAATCTTTAGCGAGATTTGTTGGGAGCTTACCAAGGTTTGCATGGTTTGTCTCGTGCAGTTACGCTTGTCGCATCTTCGGACTTGATTCGTGTTGCCTTTGACGCCGCTGGCATTCCGCAGTAAGGACGGTGGGGTTATGGACGCTGCAGAGTTCATGTTCTTCTCCGCCGTGAGGGCCTTCAAGATTGGTTGTATCAGTGTCAGTGAGTCCTTGGGATGAGATCAGGAGATCTTCCCACACGAGTATTCTGCAGCTGTGACAGCAGGACGGCTTCAGAGAGTGTGCTTAGAGCTCGCTGTTGCGCTCTTGTCTTTACCGATGTTGCCTGCAGGCCTCCTCGCAGTACCACAATTGCGACGGGCTCAAGCCAAAGCTTCCCAACGACTGCACCACCGGAATCCTCCCTTCTCGACTGCGATCTGCCGCTTTTGTTTTCTGTTTTAAATTCTGTAACCTTGAGACGCATCATATGTGTGTGTGTGTGTATGTGTCGCCAACTGGCTCAAAATTGTGTGGCTCCCCATGTGGCAAGGCCTACTTGGAGCCGCCAGCAGATTCTGCAGCTATTGGACGGCCGCTGCTGCCTGAATGTGTTGACATGTGTTGACCCATGTGGGTGGTTTACTATGGCTTGCTGTTTGCAAGCTCGAATACCTGATCGCAGTGGGCAAGGTCAAGAGTGGCCCCGCCGTTCTGCATGGATTTGCATGCTCCCTCAGACTTTCTTGGGCCAGGGACATCCGACCGTTTTGGCAGTTTTTGCCACCTGTGCCATGCTGGACCCAGGTGCTTTTCAGCAGCTTGTTCAGGACTGCCAACTGCATCGAAAGAGACTGGCGACGCCTTGTCATGTCATCTATCTTGTCAAAGGACTGGCAGCGTGCGCGGCAGCCAGGCATATAGCAGTGTAGAAGCTAGGATCGCAGAATACCGCAGGGCAAGCTAACGCAGCATTAGCCGGCCCCCTTTTCAGAAACAAAGAGGCACAAAGAGGCCATTTGCTATGTTCGATGCCCTGTCAAAGCACATGGGGCTGAACCACTGCAGGATGCTGCAACAAAAAGCGACAGAGATGTGCTTTGACCAGTTCGAGAAATACCTTGAGAAATATTTCGCAGGGTTGGATTCACCATGTTTCCTTCACGTTCTGCGACCAAGATCCTGGCTGGATTTCCGGCAGAAAGGTCAGGCTAAAGTGTTGATGGTGCTTCGTCTGATGGCTGCACTTTCCGATGGAGGTGGTGGACCACCAGTTAACCGGATTCATTCTCATGCTGAACTGGTTGTACGCCGCCAAGCTGCTACGTCCATGGAGCTTCATAAAGCATCTACAAGGTAGTTGGCGGCAAGTGAGTGACAAGGGTGACACCACACACACAGACACCGAAACATGCAAGGTCAAGCTCCATCTGGCCATTCCAAGAGAACCTCACCTCCCTGTGTCACGACCACATTCTGCGTGAAACCACACGTATAGACTTGAGTAGTCTGGAATCTCAGGAGTGGACAGTTGCAACTTGCACGGCGGATTCAATACCGTCATGTGCAGTCCTTGAGCATGAGTTCGCGATGTTCGAGAATGCCATGGCAATGAGCCTGTGGCAGTTCTTGGAGGCCGTCACGGCCATCCAGTTGTGCCAAAACAGGCAACATTACTGTAGGGCTTCTTGCAAGGAGAAGCTCTGACCATGATGTTCTTATGGCGAAGTGTCGCCAGGCACTGTTTTGCTCGTTTCCCTCGTAGATGTCTATCATCGGTGCACTCATAGTATGGTTCGGTATCGGGTTCGGTATGGATAGCATGACATTGATTATATAGCTTTGTCGTGAGTTGTTTCTGCTCCCCTTTTCGCTGCCGCCCTTTAGCTCGGAGAGTCCCGTGCCGTGCCCGGGGGCCCCTGGTCAACACCAGTGCTGCCTGGCAGCTTCTAGCGACTTTGGCCAGCCTCCTGGTCGACTGCTCAACATCTGCCAACCTGTCAGGACATGCCTTCTCTGCCCAAGCAACTGAGCTGCACACGGGGGGAGGGGGTGGGATTCTTTTTTAAATAAACTGGGGGGGGGGGGTTTTGCTGTAATATCGATTCGATTGTACGATTTTTTCCTAGGACCCAGTTTTAGAATGTCAGGCATCCAGGCGAGAGCTGGCAGCTCCCTTCTCGCTACAAGGCGCCGGGTGTGTTGTGTCATGGATGTTGGCTGTCTGCATGTGGGGACAGTGAGTTTCTCTGTGAGCCCGGGCCAGGTCACAGAACTTATCGGCTCTGGCTCCTATGGCAGCGTATGCGAGGCCGAAGACAGCATGAGCGGTCAAAGGCTACCCGGCAAGCTGAGCCTCATTTTTCTGATGCTGATGTTGCTTGATGTTGCCTTGCTGCCTTGGCGTGCAAAGAGATCATTAACAAAATCGCCCGAGACCCAAGGCAGCCTGTTGCCATTAAGAAGTGCAAGCGCATCTTCGAGGACCTTGTTGATTGCAAGCGCATTCTCAGAGAGGCCTAGCCATGTTCGAACCTGTCAAAATCCTTGCTGGCATCTGAGCATGACATGTGGGTTGGCAGGTGAGCATCCTGTCCAAGTTGAGTCACAGGAGTTTGCTGCGAATATTCACCTCCGACCGAGTGGCTTTTCGCAATCATATTTTGCGTGTCCGCCAGGAATGTTGTTAAAGTCACGGACTTCTACATTCCAGGCCAATAGCTCGCCGCTACAGTTGCCAGTGATTGAATACACGTGCACATGAGATGTTCCAGGTGACATGGCCAAGTTCACAGAGATCTACATGATCATGGAGCTTTGCGATTCTGATCTGAAGAAGCTGTGCAGGCACCCGTGCTGTGCATCCACACATGTGGCACAGCAATCTACAAAAAATCTCTTCGAACAAAATTAGGGCGGCAACGGGATTCCGTGTTGATTTGTGTGGCTATTCTTGATTCAAGCATCGGAGCCCGCCCTAGAGGCTTTGCTTACCGCCGGTTGCAGGATGCGTGGCTAAAGCTAAGTGAAGCGGAGCTGCAGCAACAGGGGTCCCTCATTGCTCATGGCCTGAATTCAGCTGAGAATAGTGCCACCGACGCTGCACCGATGTATATGATTTGGAGTTGGTTGTTTTCAGTCCTTCCCCACTTCCCGCATGATGATTTGTAGGGGGGGGAGGGGAAGTTTCCTGGGTGCCAGAAGCCTTTAAGCGAAGCCGGCAACTGAAACCTTGCAGCAAGGACACTTTTGAGTATTCGTGAGGGACCTCGCGGCCTTGAGGAAAAAATTGAACAAGTCAATCAGTTCTGATACAGAGATGACAGATTTGTCGACAGGCAGGACGTGACTCTCAGTCCCATACACGATGCTCGGCGGCAAACAATCAATACTTACATGCCCGGATGCAAAGCAAAGTGCGAGCTTTTTGCTTTTCCAATCTCAGGTTAACACGCTGCTGTACAATCTCCTGGTGGGCCAGGACCTCAGGCGCTGAGGCGCTGCGAGGATCTGCAAGGTGGCTGATGCCAAAGAAGCACCTTCAGGCATCGAGCATTTTGTCACTTGAGACTTCAGGCTTGAACTACATCCATTCAGCTGGCATTTACCACCGCGACTTGAAGCCGGCAAATTGCTTCGTCAACCAGGAAGGGCATGGCCTTCAAGGCTTTCCCTTGTTTCATCTTCTTTCATGAAAGCCATGCAAAGGACTGCACTGTCAAGATCGGTGACTTCGGCCTGTCCCGCGCCATCAAAGGCGAAGCTGCGAAGCTACGAAGCTCCTTTCACGACAAGACAAGAACCGCAACAAGGGGTTTCTAGTTTGTTTCAGGCGAACAGAAGCACCTCAAGCATTTGCCCCACACGCCTCGAGATGGTGATCAGGCCTTGTGGACGCTGTGTGTGGTGCACTGCATCTGCCTTTCTGCACATCCTGGAAGCTTCAGAAGGCCCCTCTGCCTCAAGTTCCCCACACGAAGAGGGCCGCCAAGAACTTGACTGGGCACGGAGCTCAAACTAAACACAGCGTCAGGATCGCAAGATGGCAGAGAGTTAGGTACTTGATGTGAGCTCAGGCATGTGGTGACAAGGTGGTATAGAGCTCCGGAGCTGATTTTGCTCCAGGACACATTGGTAGGTTGGAACCTAGTGGGTTTGTGCTACACACAGGACGATGCCAAGCATCGCCAAAGGTGTGCCCTGAACTTGGCCAGGACAACTATACAGAGGCAATTGATGTCTGGTCGGTCGGTGATGGCCTGAGCTGTCACACAGTCTGAAAGCATCGACTAGGGTTGCTCGCACACACCATTGCTTCTGTGATTGTTGTGTGTGGCTGCCTTGTCTTTCGAAACGTTATCGCTTAACCTAAGCATTGCAAGACTCGCCGAAAGTTCGGGCCCCGGGCTGGGGTTGGGTGGTTGTTGGGGTTCAATGTCAGAGCCCCGACATACTCACAGGGCTCCTTTCCATCAGGCCTGGATGGCCCAATTTTGCTTTTTCCTGGGGGGGGGGGGGGGGGGGTTACCCGGGTAACTAGCGCCCAGTTTGAGAGCCATTGAAACAAACTTGAGACCGGTGATGGTCATTGTGAATTCTCGTGCCTGTTATCATCTTGAGCAGCTACGTCTTGGCAGCATGCTTTCCATGTGCCAGGCTGCATATATGCAGAGCTGCTTGGCATGCTGCCACAAGCCGGCAGAAGCTATTTGGATCGTGGGCCTTTGTTTCCGGGAACGTGAGGGGCTCGGCTGCTTCTGGTTTTCTCCATCACGGCCCTCATGTGTGCACCGTGAAGTCCAGTGAACTGTTGGCTGAGATCCTGCTTTCCGCTGTCCCCAGACCACAAGCACAAATCAGCACCTCTGCTGCACTGCACAGACAATCCATGTCGTCCCCCTGGCGCTAATTACGCATCACTACAGCCATGAATCTATCATCCCACACGGTTGCTCACTTTGTCGCAGCTGGTCTGGTCAGCCCACACCCGGCTTGGCGAAAGCAGCGACGGCACATAACGCACGTATGAGTCATTCCCGCCTCGGCTTCAGGACTACAAGTACTACACAAATGGCAAGCATGACATGCTCAAGAAGATCTTCGGTCTGCTTGGCACACCAGAGCAAAAGGACGGATATCGAATAGACCACTTCTTCAGACGCAGTGCTGGAGTCAGAAGTCACCATTTTATGGGTGCTGCGAGGACATTGACGCGTGCATTGAGCGCGAAGATGCAAAGCGCCACTTGGTGAGCAGCGCGTGAGCAGCACGGATCTCGAAGTTGCCGCCGCGTTGTCGGGACGGAGTGAGAGGGATTGTTTTAAGCGCTGAGGTTACATCGCCTGTTTCCCTAAGCAAGTTGGTGACGGCTTGCGGAAGGTGTTCAAGGACCCGCTGCTTCTCAATCGGTAGTCGGATTGACTTGTACCTTCGCATGTCTCGCCATCTGATTACAGTGCCATCCTGCGATTCAGGAGATTGACGCTGGCATGATTGATATCCTTGAGAAGATGACGCTTGATGGGATTACTTGCGGCAGTGGAATTTCTGGCGGCAGTGTTTTTTTTTTTTTTGTGTGCCCTCTGCATGTCTGCAAGGCGAACGAGGCAAAGAAAGTTGTTTTCGGCTTCGGGCACTGTTGTCTGCAGCAGTTCCAAGGTTAATCTTCAACCCAAAGACGCGCATTTCAGTTCAAGAGGCCGCACTTTTCAGACCATCGAAAGCGAGATCTATTCTTCAGATGTACGCTTCGCTTGTAGTGGTCAGTCGTGGTCGCAGCCCCAGTCGCAGGCCTTGGCCCACCCACTGCTGTCTGATATTCGCGACAAGACATTGGAAACTACGTCGGAAGATGTGGTCGTGTCTCTGGTCTGGCAATTAAATTACGGCAGTCTTGACTCCTTGCGCTAGCGGCTCGACAAGTTGTTGCAGAGCAGGTTAGCTTCAGCAGTTTGACGCACGGACGTAACTGGACGTTTACTGCAATTTGCATAGCGAGGCTTCCCTTCGAGAAGGAGCCGGACTTGGACGAAGACTTGCTGAGCACTTTTACAGCACTTAATCTCGAGTTGCCTTTTGACATCCTTTTGGCCCTTAGCCTGAATGCATTCCTGAGGGCGGTACTTCAACGTGGAGCTGCGGAAGTGGCTGAGACAGATTTGATGTCTCATCTCGGCTAGGCAAAAGTGGCCGCGGTACTGGTAGCAGCTGCACGCTGGAAGACCCTCGCACAGCCAGCTGAGGTATCACCCAGAGGTGCCGGAATACAAACCCTTGCGGGGTTATGGAAGCTGAACTTTGGGCGCTTGCGGCAGCACTCCGTGTAAGATGGTACAGATCAACGGAGTGTAAGTCGCCATGGGCTCCGCGGCTGCTGAACACAAGCGACTGCAAGGCAACTGCAACGATGCTCAAAAACAACTTGGGCTGGCATGGGCTCCACACAGAGTGTAGTTGTATGTAGTTGTATGTAGTTGTAGGACCGTTTATACCATGGGAGGGTGACATGGCAGCTGGAATCAGATGCAATGGTGCTAGAACAATACCTGCAAGAGCACTGCAATCGTCAACTTGTGCTTTTTGTGTTGAGTCACCTCCCGACAATGCTCTCGTATTCTTTTGTGCTTTACATGCCCGAAATTGCTTGTTCGCGAGCACGAGCGTGTTCCAGAAAAGGTCCGCTGCGTTGTCATGCAAGTGCTGGCAGTGATAGATCTAAAACAACCTGATAGTGGAATGACATGTTTGGGTGAGGGTGTCATACTTTCGGTTCGCACCTGTGCGCACACTCGATGGCATGCGACAGTTACTCAGTTATTGTATCGGCACATCGACAGGAGCCGAGGTCTTCGGCGCCGGCCTCTCAGCTTCACAGCATCTCTATACAGCATCTGCGGCCACCGATGTGCGCCATTCTTAGTGTGATAGGTCTCCGGGTCATGCGGCGACGACGCAGACGCAGGCTCCTTCCCCGTACATGTAGGCCTTCTGTCAGCCGGTCTGGTGTTGTAGTGTGTCGTGGCTATCCTGCAGATCAAACCACATGTCATCCATTGTCAGCTGTTTTGCCATGCAAGATTTCGTTTAGGACAAGAAGCTGTCCTTCCACACCTTCTTGGCGCCCTGTTTGCTTGCAACCCTTCTCGTCCAGACCAAGAAGTTCTTGCTTCTCTTCCTCAGAATCGCAACATGACACGCGTTTAACAAAACGGCAACCCAACATGCATGCACGTGATGCGCACCCCGTGCAACAAGCACGTTGCCTGGCTGGCCTCTTCATAGCAAAGGGGGTGCTTCCAAATCTGAACGAAGAGATCAGGCAACTAACACAATTGGCCAAACCAAGTGACAACTTGTTTCAGTAATAATTTTTCGCCTCCTGTCCAGACAGGAGTAGACGGTTCTAGGAGGGGTGTCCATTGCAGGGTTTCAATTCAAGCTGCTTGGGGAAGGAGAGGTCCCAGGATTGTTCTTAGGGTCCTAGGGCGGGTCCCAGGGGGTGTTCAAGAGTGCCCGAAGAGTTCCGCGCTTGGCAGTTTTGCTTGGGGGAAAGGGTTGGAAGGGTGGAAGGAAACCAGTAATGCAAAGTACTGCGCTTAGGATTTGAAGGGCTAGATCTTTAAGCCTCGGCCTAGGGGCCCTGTATTACAAATCCAGAGCTCAGGGACCAGGGCCGGAACACTAAAGAGCACCCTGACAAGTTTCCATTTTCTGGCCCATATTTATGGGGACAATTGTTTGTATGGTTTTGTTCAAGGGAATACTTGGTTTTTTCCTGGCTGGGATCCCCCGGTTGCAGTGTCGTGAATGCCGACATAGCCTCAGGCCTTACGGCTTCTAGAGTCAAAAACTAGTGCGGAAAAAGCCGCCAGCAAACAAAGAGTTCTCAACATGTGTTCATGTCATGCAGGCAAGACCGTGCGGTGGCCAAGCTGTGGAAATCGCGCAGCCAGTTGTGGGCACCTTATGCCGTAGCTTAGCTGCACCGGCGCTGAGCATGCATGGTGAAAGCTTTCAGAAGGTGGCATTTGCCGCGGGCATGTCGCCGGGTCGAGGACTTGACCATAGTTTTATCCAGCACCACCACGTTGGTTGGGTGGGGGTATGTGGGGGTATTGCAGACTCATGCTTGCAGCTTGCTGTAGTATCCATGCGATTGCTTGCGGTTGCCCGCTCAAGCCCCCAGGAGTGCGGCAGAGCATAAGAGTCTGATACATGCAAGTACATCCTGCGGATGATTGCGGATTACAAGAATCTGGCCTAGGTGAAAACTTAGCAACGGTCAGCTCGCACAAGCCTTGCACGGTGTGCGTCATGGCAACTTAGTCAACTTAGCAGATGGCTCCACATGAGCAGCAGCAGCCCGAGGCGCCTACTGGTAGCATAAAATCCAAGGAACCCCAAGGAATCGACCGAATCGGCCCTCTCAGACTCTCGCAGGGGTCCAGTCAAAGCCAAGCCTTTGCAGGTGCCGGGCTTTGGCACAGTCCGGCCCTGAGTGCTTTAGAACTGCTGACGAGGGGCCAAAGTTTGAGTGTAGAATTCTAGAGGTGTTTTTTATCCTTCTTTTTTCTTCCTCTCTTCTTCTCTGATTCTAGGTGTCTCTTGAGGTGTCTCTTCTCTTCTTTTATCATTTTTGTCCCCTTTTCTTGCTCTTCTGAGCGTTCTCCCTGTGAGAGGTTCTTGGAGCAGCACCGGGAGCCGGCCTGGCGTTTGCAGCAGGTCCTCCACGGAGTCTACAAGGCCTGCGCGATACGTTCCCAAAGCACCACGTCTCCGCACATACAAACATAATCATACTTACATGTTACATGTATATACATAGTCTAAATACATATCAATATAGAATATAATAACAGTAAATGAATGAATATGAATATGGTCAATATATATATATATATATATGGTACCCCCCCCCCCCCAGTGACCTACCCTTTTTCGCCTTGTCTCGAGTCACCCAGCTGCACTGCAAGCAAACTCGGTGTGCAATATAGCGTATTTCCTAGGGCCTAGGGCGTAGACTAAAATAGAACTAAAATCGCATACACGGGACAGTAGAAAAACCAAAAATACCAAAACCAAAAGAACCAAAAAACCAAAACCCAAAAAACCAAAACCAAAAAATCCAAAACCAAAAAAACCAAAACCAAAAAGACCAAAAATACCAAAAAAACCAATTTTCCGGGACTCTCAGGAAATCCCTATGAGGCTTCTCCAAGAGTCCCGGAAAATTGGTTGTTTTGGTGTTTTTGGTTTTTTTGGTTTTGGTGTTTTTGGTTTTTTTTGGTTTTGGTATTTTTGGTTTTTTGGTTTTGTATTTTGGCTTTTTGGTTCGCCTTCACGGTCACGAGGCAACAACTACGCATTTTTAAGTGTGCTTATGCTAATTGTGCTTTTCAGAAATAGTATACAAGTGGTCTTTCTAGTGCTTCAGAACTATTTGTTTCGTTATTATGTAAGTAGAGCCGCTAGTGTTTAGTGCATCTTTTGGTTGTACTCAAGTGTAGTAGACCTTATTCAGCCATTACTTGGTGCTCTGGTAGCTCAATTCGCATGGATAATATTTGCCTGGTAAATGCGATTAATTATCTAGAAGCAGCATTTGCAATACTTGTCTTGAGAAAAAGCATTTATTGCTTAGAATTGTTTGCTTAAAAAGTGACTCCTACTCGTCCAGGAATACCCCAAAACCCTATAATCCAAACTTTACCAGAGATTCTCCTGAAAAGCTTGCGCTTTTGGATGTTTTTATGTATTTGTGAATTTGCTTGTGTATGGCCTTCACTAAGTACTTTTCTAGGATTCTTGTGCATTTTTTAAGCCTGATTGTGCAAGTTGCGTTTTTCAAGCATAGTATATATGTGGTCTTTATTGAATACTTCAGACATCTTTGTTTCATCGTCATGTAAGTAGAACCGCTTCTATTTCCATTATTGTGCATTTTTAAGCTTGCTCATGCAAATTGTGCTTTTCAGACATAGTATATAAGTGGTCTTTAGTGAATACTTCAGCAATCTTTGTCTCATTGTTATGTAGGTAGAACCGTTTCCATTTCCGCAAGTGTTTATTTCGTATTTGGTTGAGCATGGTCCTTTAAATAGTATTCACTTGAGTAAAATTGGGCTATTTGCTTAAGAATTCCTCTAGTAGTTAAATTCGCATAGAATGAATACTTCAAAAAAATTGGTTTCATGAATATGTAAACATAAGGTGTTTCATTTGGCTTTGCAGATAGTACTTCAATAATACTTTGCCTGGTATAAACACAACTGTTTCAATGCATTAGTTGCTCAACAAAGCACTATTAGCCCTTTAAACCACACTTTTCCATATTTTGGTTGAATATGGTGCTTCTTTCGTATTTTGGTTGAGTATGGTCCTTTAAATGGTATTCACTTGAGTCAAATTGGTCTATTTGCTTAATAGTTACTCTAGTAGCTAAATTCGCATAAAAATGATTACTTCAAAAATGAAAACGATTCATGAATATGTAAACATAAGGTATTTCAGTGGACTTTTCAGAGAGCATACTTTGCCTAGTACAAACACAATTGTATAAATACAGTATTTGCACTTTAAACGCACACTTTGCCATTTTTTGGTTGAGAATGGTGTTTATTTCGTATCTTGGTTGAGTATGCTCTTTTAAATAGTATTCGCTTGAGTCAAATTGGGCTCTTTGCTTAATAATTACTTTAGTAGCTAAATTCGCATAGAACCAAGAAAAATGTTTCACTATTTGATTAATACTTTGCCTCGTACAAACACAATTGTATAAATAAATTAGTTGCTCAACAAAACATTAATTGCCCTTGAAACGCACAATTTGCATAGAAAAACACTGATCTAAACATCTGAAAACAGCATTGTCCGCTTCAGATTCAAAATGTAGATTCTTCCAATGCTGGCTTATCGGGGTCTGTGAGGTGGGTGTCCCAGTAACTGTCCTTCATTACCCGGTGATTAACTACGCGACTTTTGGGCCTTCTTTGTTATTTTTTGTTGAAAAGGCCTAAAAAGGCCTAAAAAGGGTAGGTCGCTGGGGGGGGGGGGTAGCATATATATATGTATATATATATAATACATATATATATATATATATAAATATAAAGTATAAGGACGCTACAATCTGTCACACTTCCTTTTTGGCGTCGCGCCACTACATCTCCTCTTTGTAATTTCTACTTAAGTGCGATTGTTTGCTATTTCCTCGCTGCATGTCGTTTGTGATTTTTAGATTCCTGACGCTGATTGGAGGGTGCAGCACGCTGCTCAGCAAATCTTGGCGAGAGAGCCCACAGGCCCACAAAATCAAGTGGCACGCCATCGACGGCTTGCCAGACACGCTCAAATGGCGCCTGAAGGCAACGGATTTCAGATCTCCGCAGCACAGATCGGACGTTGTCCGCCAAGTGTGCTTTCAGGATCAATTCGGGAAGTACATCACAGCTTTCAAGCCCGAGGCGAATGGCCACTCCTCTCGATTCCTGAATGCTTCTAGCTGCTCTTTCAGACATCCTGACACCTCTAAACGTTTCTCAGGCCGTGTCAGAAGGCGATTCGGCAGAGAAGCTGCTGTTGAAGTCGCGCGTTGATGAAGCACGCGCCAGACCCCAAGCTCACAACCCAAGCTGGGCATTCCCAGGCTCAAGCAGTGGAAGAAGTCGAGGGACTGGAAGCAGCCACCATGTAAGGTCGAAGCCGTATCGTTGAAATTTCACTCCCATCGTTCCTTGTGCATCTCATCGCAGGCCCAGTTTTGTAGCTTGCAGCTGTTGCAGTTGCTCCACAGCCGGGCGTTGATGCGCAGGCTTTCTTCCTTATACCTTGTAATTTGCGTACATTAACATGTGCAGGTGGGCTGCAGTTTCCAGTGCGCCTTCTGCGCCACTGGAAAGGTGGGCTTTAAACGGCAGCTGGACGCGGACGAGATCAGCGATCAGGTACATTGACAGGCGTTTGGATATTGGGCTCACATGAACTTAACCGACCAGCGCACCAAAACCAACAAGCGGAGCACCAACCGAAGAATTTAGGTTGGTTTTTAGGCTACGCAGGGGAGGTGGGATCTCGCTAGGGTTTGAGGATAGGTTAGGGTGGGTTTTCGGCCAGGGTTTCAGGGCAGGGTGCAGTGGGTGGTATGTAGGCGATGTGTGGGGTAGGGGAAGCCTGTCAAGGTGTGGTGAGGGGCACGCAGAGTTTGGGTGGGTCTCAATGAAAATAGCTCCTCCTTGACCTGACCTGTCCTGCCCGACTTGGACGACCTGCCTGACCTGACCTCAAACTGACCTGGCCCGAACTAACCACTCCCAGCGCGGCATCGCATGAAAGTTTTTGGCGATATGACTGGCTTAAGCATACCTAACCTCCACCAAGTTGATCTACTGGAACTACACCGCTGTATCCCGCAGATTCTCCTGAAGTACCAGTTAGTGGGGATGGTCGAAGGAAATGCTTTTGGTGCTCCTTTTGGTGCAGTCGCTGGCTGTGGCGGTGCGTTCTTTGCCGCAAACGTACATCTTGCTTAGTCCCTTGGTTTTGTTGGTGTGCTATTGTTCTTATCTCATTGGTTTTTGTTGTAACATGTGGCTGGGCCATGCTGGGCCCACACGTGCGTGCATCAATCCTCACTAGTCCTTATGCAAAAATCCGTGCGAACGAGAGAACTGCATGACGCCTTGCAGGTGCTGCACTTCTTGCAGCGAGGGCACAAGGACTGTCCAATCTGGTTGTGCGCATGAGAACCGACGGTGGCTCTGCATTTAATCATCTGGGAGGTCGATGGTGTTTCTTTCATGGGCATGGGTCCCTGCCTGAGTGCGTGTTTCGGTGGAAAGAGCATGCGGCGACCGCCACACTAGCAAGGCGAGCCTTTGGGGAATCCCAAACTTTTCGATGCACTCCGCATCCTCACATCGCCAGAGCTCTATGGAATGTCAGCGCGAAGGACCCTTGACATTTGCGCCTCCTGCCTGGTGCGCCCGTCCCTTGCGAGTTTTTGGGATGCTTGCTCTGGCAGGTTGAACGTATCGACCGTCGGCGTTCTTCCAGGCATCATTAAGCTTACAGAGGACATCTATTTGGCGTGAGGTTCTGGAGCAATTGATGCGATGCTAAAAACCAGAGTAACATTTCCTTCACGTCTTGCTGTCTGTAGCTGATTTGTTCGCTTCATTCGGTGCTTTTGCTTTGAGATACAAGCATTTTCTTGGTTTGTGTGTTGTACAACATGTGTTCTCCTGAATTTTAACGCTAGGACCGAAGGGAGGAGGGGAAGGGAGGAGGGGAAGGGAGGAGGGGAAGGGAGGAGGGGAAGTGGGGAAGGGAGGAGGGGGAGGAGGGGAAGGGAGGAGGGGGAGGAGGGGAAGGGAGGAGGGGAAGTGGGGAAGGGAGGAGGGGAAGGGAGGAGGGGAAGGGAGGAGGGGAAGTGGGGAAGGGAGGAGGGGAAGTGGGGAAGGGAGGAGGGGAAGTGGGGAAGGGAGGAGGGGAAGTGGGGAAGGGAGGAGGGGAAGGGAGGAGGGGAAGGGGAGCCGGCCGTCTCGGACACCTGTCGGCTAGGGCCAGAGGGGGGCTGCCCCCTTTGTCTACGGCAGTTCTTCAGTACATATGAGGTATGAGCAATGGTACGCGCAGGAGTTCCCGCAGGTGAACCTGGCATTTTCGTTGCATTCGCCCTTCACAGAGGAGAGAAACCAGCTAGTGCAGCCAGCCCAGATCGATGAATGACAATGACATAAATAAAATGACCATGGCGGCACATGCCTTTGATGTGCAAACCTCCGACACCACACTCTAGAATTGGTCAACATGACTGACCCGTTCATGAGGCCGCTGAATCGAATGTTTCCGATGGAGGAGGCCCGGCTGATCTGAAAGAATGGTTGCTGGAGCAATGGGCCGATTGGCGTCTGCATTTTGCGGTAGGTGCGCCGGCGCACGTAAGCCAAGTGATGCGGTATGCTGGCACAGGTGTTCAACGTCCTGGACCAGCGCATTCGCAGCACAGGGCGTCGCATCTGGGTCTGCTACTTGCTGCTGCAGGCCGTCATCCCTGCAGAGTCTTGCAAAAATTGGGATGCACCGGTTTGAGGAGTGCTTTGTTGCAGGGCATCAACGATTCGGCAGACCATGCTCGGGCATTGGCCCAGATAGTTCGGGATCGTCCCACGGAGACCCGGTGCGCAGCTGAAGCTTGTGCGCAAGTGGCTGTGCATCGCGAAATTAAAGTTCGGCATCGGTCTGCAACAGTCGCAAGAGGGAATGTATTGAGTGGCGTCAAGCTTGCTTTCGATCATCCAGCACTATGCAACTCGCGCCCAATGGCCACCGCAGGTACTTATACCACGTCAACCTGCTACCCTACAATGTTGGCAAAGGGCTCAGAGCTCATTGCCTCGACAGCGCTCGCAGCTACGTTTGGATGATGGGGAGCTTGCAGCAGGTAGGGCAGTCCCGGAAAAGTACAGCAGAGCTCGTCCCGAAGGCTTGGGGAAATTTTCGAAGCTATGTGCATTTGCGGTAGGCTGCATTTCTGACGCTTGCTCTGCGCGGAGGAGTTGAGCAGTTCCAGCGGGTCCTGCAGCAGGGTGGCTCAGAGACCTGTTCTGGGTCACAGCAGGTGAGCTGAAGTCGCATCACAAGAGCGGTGGGGTTTAATTAACATTACAGGGATCGGTGAATGTCGTGACGCGTTTTCTGGAATGGCAGTCAAGGCGGGAGGCCATTAAGAAGTCGTGCCGTTTGGAGAAGCGCAGGAGAGCGCGTGTTTCCAGATCTTGTTGAACACGAGCAATTCGGTTTTATGGTTAGATGGCGGAGGAGCTCACGTCTAGGTTTTCCTGTGCGTTTGAGATGGGATACGCCAACGCGTCTCTACCGCCAGCCGTACTCGCAAGTGCGCCTGCAGGAGCTCTCAGACATACAGCGCATCTTGTTGTTAAATGTTTGAACTGTAATTGTGCCAGTGCCCACCACCACTGGGCAGGAACCAGGGAGCACACGGGGTATAGATCGCTCGGGTATCTTCAGGTGACTGACCCTCTTCCGGATGGAAACATGTAAGGAAGTGGATCTAAACTGCGTTTCGTTGGGGCGAGGCAATCCGTGGGTGATGCGGAGTTGGGCGGAAATTCGTTGATTTGTAGCACAAGTCTAGTCTAGTAGTACGGGAACAAACCCATGAACACTCCGTTTCATGAGGGCGGACGCCTGCAGTCCACTTCGTCAACTTCCTGAGTCCTCTGCGTTCACTGCTGGGGTTTGAGGTTCCTCCGACCAAAATGGTCCGGTCAGGTTTCGCGGACGTCGTCAACTCGCTTCCTCTCTTCCTCGTGGACGGCATCCTACGTCATCTGTAAGTCATCTGGAAGTTCACACAGCTGCCTCATTTGTAATCTCGCAAAGCTGCCAACTTGCGGCTGGGCCACGTATCCCCAAATTCAGGGCGGCTTCACTACACACCTACCTCGACTATCCCTGTGGGAGCTGCCCTATGTTGCCCATGTGTGTGTGTGTGTGTGTGTGTGTGTGTGTGTGTGTGTATGTGTGTGTGTGTGTGTGAGACCGTGGCAGTCATTTCATGTCGGTGAGTGGGTGAGTGATTTTCTATTGCTTGGGTGAGCACGTTGCTGTCGATTTCTGTCCCCGCGCAGAAACCCACCGTATCACACACCAACGGACACGATAACCCGCGCCCCTTAGGCGGCCCTCTCGGGGGCCCTAGTGTGCAAGAAGGAAGACAGAGAAAGCCCGCTGGGCGCGGCCCTTTCGGGGGTTATGCTTGCCGAGACACAGACAGAGAGGGAAAGCGAGAGAGAGAGAGAGAGAGACAGGGTGTGTGTCTCTTCGCCTTCGCCTTTGGGACGGTTCTCACTGGAGGGGGATCGGGAAAGGCCTTCGCCGGTGAACCTTCGCTGGTGAAAGTTACGCCCAGGTTGGGGATGTTCGGGGAACTTCCGCTAAGGGTAGACATGTGAAGGGGGGAGTAGAGCATGTTTTACCTTGCCGGGGCTTCGAACGGTCTAGGGTGAGTGAGGTCCAGAAGGGCTGGTGCTGTGTGATTGCGCTGAGTTGATAACAGATCCAACAGGTCACGGACCCTAAGCCCGGGAGGAAGGAAGGAAGAAAGCAAGAAAGAAAGAAAGAAAGAACGAGTAAAGAAAGAGTTGAGGGGGGATGACTTTGGGTAGACCAGCTGCAGGCGTTGAGGGGGGTCAGGCAGGAATCACCCCCAAGGGAGGATAAAGGTTGCATTACATTCTGACGAAAGTCTGTCGGCCTTTTTCTACACCCTCCGAAAGCCCAAAGCATGGTGCAGTACACTAAGACTTAAAGCCTTGCAGAATTGCAGAAGAAGAAGAAAGAGGAGGGAGAGCAAGAGAGTGAGAGAGAGACTCAAGACCTGCACCATCCCAAGGCAGAACCGGGTATCCAGCTCCTATCGAAACTCTTTCGGTCATGGAATTGATGCTGCTTGTGGGCAGCTCTTTGCGGGCTATGAGGAGGCTTCACGCCTGCAACAATTCACAAGTTTGAGACTTGAGACTGGAGAATGGTGGAGTTCGGTTTCCGGATGATGAGACTAATGTGGCAATAGCGTGTTGTCAGTCATTGTCGCGTCACCTTGACTTGGCAAGGTGGCGGCAAGAGCTCGAGCAGGTTCCGGAAGCGAGTGTCGAGAAGTGTTGAACCTCTCTGGTATCGGCGGAATTGGGAATGTAAGGGAGGCAGTCGCGATTTGGTTGCCACTGGTGCGAGGACAAAGGTCGGCCCCGCGGAGTTTGCCTTCTCCAGCTGAAGCACCGAAAATCGGCTGACACCGTTGACTGCCTGCCAACACGGAAAGGATGGCCAACAAATTCTGAGCTATGCTTTTGATTGGCAAGCTAGAATGTGACGTGCCCGTCTGCGGCAGCCTTGAGCATACCACATCGCAAGGGGCGAATAATTCTGTGGCGAAAGTCGTGCCAGGATTTGCTGTACTGGAAGGCATTCCTGCAGAAGGTTGTCGACGCCTTGGCATTGCTAGCCATACTGTAGCAGGCTATGTGGACTCAACTCAGACACCTTTTGGTCGAGGGGACGCTGAGTATGCTAGACAATTGTGAGGGCCATCCGCTAGTTAGTTCAATACGCGGCATCGGTTTGAAAACCGGCGTCCCGCGTAAAAGCATTGCGCAAGAATTAGCCAAACGGAAGAGGAACCAGAATGAAACATTCGTGCGACAGGTTCACAAGATCGACTTACGACTGCAGGCTGGTGCCGAGCAGCTGCTTAGCAACCCTCATTTCCAAGCCATGCGATCCAAGAGTGTGAGGTGCCAATGAAAGAGTCACTCTCGAGGCCGAAGCCAGGACTTATGTTGCGGGAGGACAGGGTGCGGATGGGTGTGGTCGCAGTGTGGTCTGCAGCTGGCACTTTGGATACACGCATGCGTGCCCCGCATTTGCTGGAGAAGACGTGAGCACCAATGGAAGCGGAGGGTGCATGGATGTGGAAAGCCTTCGAGAGTCACATCTGTATCGTGGACATCTAATGCGAGTCAAGCAAAGAGATGGTATAACTTTCGGTAGAACACTCCTGGAGCAGATTGGAGCACCAGAACATGGAAGAAGCGCAGTGAGAAGCAGCCTCACGGAGCCATGATGCTGCATCCGCAGACATCCTGGAGAGCCAAGCCGAAGGCCCCAGAAGTTGGCATTCCAACGCCGACATCTGCCGAACGTAGTATAACAGTATAACATAGTAACTTAGTGGGAGCTGTCAAGAACTTTAGTCGGTCTATTCCTCTCGCCAAGCCAATGATACATGAACTGCCACCAACGGATAGTTTGACGTGATTGCTCGGCTCGGTGGTCTGTGGTGGAGGTGCCTGCAAACCAGTAACAACCATGATGCCGCCATCCTGTTATGTTGCGAAAGCCGTAACGGCGCCTCAACGCTGCCCGGACTCGTGTGTGCAGCGCAAGGGGCGCCGGCACATGGTTCGAAGCCGCCGTGCGCACATGGGGTCATCAGCACTGCGTGTTCTACTTGTAGGCAGGGAAAGAGGCTAGATTCGGGCAGATTTGTTTTTCCTGCACTGGCAGCACCATGCAACGGCAGACGTGGATGTTGCAATCGGTTTCGCTGTTCTGTATATTTCCTTCGAACATCTGAGTGGGAAGTGGGAACAACAGGGCCCGTTCCGATACTGTCGGGAAAGAACAAAATGAGCATTGTTACACTGCTGCACAGTACCGCAGGGTCAAAACGGGCAGACGTGGTTCAATCCCTTTGTCGAGTTTGCCTGCGTTTGGTCAGAACCTGTTTTGTGCCGCCGCCCGGGGCGGACGGGTAACCATCCCCAACAACTAGCTTTCCTTCCGCGTTTTGGGTGGACGGGCAAGGATTTCCTTGCCCGGGGTAATAAAACTTGCGTTCGTTGTTGTGCTTGTTTGGTGTTGACGGGGCTTCCTTGTACACGCACTTATTGACCAGCGCACTGCTGATATCTTAAACCATTACGCAATCGTGTGATTTCAAGGCTGCAGTTCAGGACCAACAAACATGAAAGAGTCATGATTGATCAAAGCTCTGCCGGCGTGAGCAGTCTACGCACTGAAGAGGCTGAGTTGGTATTGAGTGGTTTGCGCGCTTGTTTCGAAGGCCGGGGTGAAAGTCCTTTTCTTGGATGTGGACGGAGTCTTACATCCAGCTTCCTGTGGGATCCAGCTTCAAGAGGCCCTTGGCCCGGCAGAGGAGATTCGATAGCCGGTAAAAAAGGTGCAGTGGGTCCTGGACTGTACTACTGTTTTGTGCCCTCTCGGCAGGACTCCTCCTCACTGGCAAACTTATCTGCAGGGGACTTCGGGCTATTTCAACCTCGCGCTATGACACCTGGCCCTTGTCGTAACTGCTTGTCTGCTTGTCGGGTGCCGTACTTGTCGTGCCAAGTTTCGCATCTTAGGAAATGCCTTGCTCGCATTCTCGTTTGCTCTGGCGCACGAGTAGTACTGTCGAGCGCATGGCGTGCTTTACCTGGAGGCGCGGCGAAGTCATTTGTAATTGTGGCCCCGTATCTGAAATTTAGATTCTGGCAGATGTCTCGACATCTCATGTGAGGCCGGCAGGCGGTGGACTTGGTGCTTCGAAGATGGGGGCTGCTACCTGTATACTCCGTCACGCCAGGAGAAGGCGCAGACAGACACTCGGAGAGCCAGAATACTTGGGTCCTTGTGTGGCTCCCACCACGATATTCCAATGTGTAGACAGGAAAGGTTCAAGAAATTTCAAGAGGTTTCGCCGCAAACAACCGCAAACTGAGTTGCCTTTCCCAGGAAGAGTGGAGCACATATGGGCTTGGCTATCAGAGCATCGCGACCAAGTGGAAGGCTACGCCGTTGTCGATGACATGGACCTTTCACTGGACTCTACAGGCCACGGCCAGAGTATTGGGTTACATCATATCAGCATCAGTTGCAGACGAGCTCAGCATTTCCTATGCGCAGGAAGCACTGTCATGTGCGCAATGTCAGGTGTTCGTACTCAGCCATCGTGCATTGCGGCTCACTTCGTGCGAACTCCGAGTGCTGTAGGCCGAGAAGCATCCGCTCGAAGTAATCACAACCTTGCTCAAACAGACCACCCTTGCCTTTTGGGACAGGACTCTCATCTGGCCACGTGTCACGGCTCCTCGCCAAGCTGCAGAAAGAGCCGGCCCTGCCAAAGGCCGTGGGCTTGACCATGTTTGCCCATGCTAGACCAGAGCAAGACAGTCTGAGTGTCAAGGTGTGCCAAGACATTTTCGTAGTTCAAAATGGTCTAAGGGGTTGTCGCGCTTCAGCATGCTTCAGCACGCAGTTTTTGTTGCCAGTGCTTCCCTGTGCTTGAGGACTCGAAGGCAATTGGGGCACTGCTGCCTTCTCTTCCGAAGCCTCGCACAGGAATGTGCGGAATCGCGTGGTTGTTCTATACTATGATGTTCTCAATGACTCAAGTGTGTTCAAGCAATGACTCACTTGCCACCTGTTGTCCACGGGCTGAAGCATCACCACCAACTGACACGCAAGCCAGAATTAGATCTGCATGCCCCATAAAGACTGGCAGGAGAACAGCGGGCAACCACTGCGCACACCTTGACGGATGAGACGAAGGAAAGGGCATGCGAACCACCTGCTCACAGGGTCAGGCGTCGCTTTGCCACATTATGCGTGTGTGCAGGGACGCCAAAAAGAGCGCGGGCGTGCTCGCGCGAGAACTTCTAGGAGGCCTGGACAGCCCACTTGAGAGCGTGGCTCGGCACATAGCTCGATAGCATCTCGATAGCTGTGTGCTGAGCGTCTTCACTCTAACCAGCTTCCAGAATTTCCGGGAGTTGCTTGCCTCGACTTCCAATGGACAAGCGTGCAGCATGCAGACATGCAGGAGTTAGTGCCCTTGGGGTCTAGCAAATGTGTTCCGCAGCGTCCCTCTCCAAGACTCAGTGCGGGGGAGGGGGACGTCTTGGCTGATGCATGGGGAATGGCTGAGCCGGATGCACAGCCTGCAGAGCTCATTGAGTCGCAAGCCAATTCAAGCCAATCATCCTTCCGAATCCTTCCATTGAGCTGCGCCGGCATTTTGGTGCACTCGAGGCTTCCGATCACAATGAAGGTTCAGGCAGCGTTGCAGTTTTGGTGGGAGCATTGGGCCAAGCGGAATCAAAAGAGACAAGTGAGCATTGCTCGTGCAGGGTGTTCGACACCTCTTACTTCCAAGCTTGCTGCTTGCTTCCCAGGATGTCAACTGTGCAACGGCTTGCGTCCAGCAGGCCAGATGAAGCAACAAATCTGGTAAGGTTAGCATCGATCGTGACCATCGGCACTGCAACGAAGCAAAATCTTCGCCGAGGTGTAGGGAGCTTAAGCAGCTGTCGGACAGCTGTCGGACCGCAACCCACATAGAAGCAGCAGACAAGTCGCTGACTTGCTGCAAGGCCCTGGATTCCCAGAGGTTGGTCGGAGGCGCGGCTCACTCTTGTAGGATCATTCCCGGCTCGTGCCGTCGCATCGGCTTCAGGCGGAGGAGCTAACGCTGCTTTGGAGGACTGCAGAATGCCAGCTAAGAAAAGACCAGGCTTCAGTATTCGTGTCGTCTTCAGACCTACTGCTCGGCCTTGATTTTGGTTCTACTCCCCAAGTCGGTCTAACGGCTAGAATGCTTTTCAGGCCACGGCACGCGGTCAGCAACCGAGGTTGGTGCCAGCATGTGCCAGCCTGGCCCGAAACCACGCAGCAATGTCTTTGGCCCAGTGAGCCTCGAGGGTGGTCACAACGACGGCCAACACAACACAACCAAACCCGACCAGACGCACGCTGCGTGCATCTGCCTATTCAAGATGACATGCCAAAGACTGAGCACAAAACCGTGAGAACACAAATGAAGCCCGAAACGATGACAGCAACAAACCTCATGATACCCACCCACCATTAATGGGGAAAGTGTTCTTTTTCAATGTGTTTTTGTTTTAAAATTATCTTCACGAAGCTTTTCATTCACTGGATTTCACTGGGCTCACGCGTTCCTGTGAAACGCGAGTCTCTCTCCCTTGCAATACTAACTTGTCCATCATGAGTCCAATGGATGGTGGAGGTGAACAGGCCCTGACATATTCTGTTGATGCGGTGAGACCAGAGGTTTTAGAAGGAGCTGTTGTGCCAGGAAATGTACAGCTTATTGGAGCACACCCTCCTTGGTTCGGAAGAGGAGGCTCAGCTTTGCAGGGCCCACGACCACTCGTCGCGTGCATTGCATGCCTCACAGGCGGAGAGCCAAATCTTGCGAAAAATGCAGCAGTGCGGGGCTCGGCGCAGATTGTAACGGCATTTGTGCTGTATCTTAATGCGGCTGCCTGCACCATGTAGTTATTCAGTATTTGCATATAAACAGTCATGAAGGACGTGCAGCAAGTTATATTTGAGAGATGCCTCCTGAGCGCGCAATCGAGGGCTTGGCTACATCTCATCGCCGATTGGCCAATATGTTTGCTAATGTTGAAGCTTGACTAGCGCGGTCCAAGGTTATCAATTCGTTCGTTGAGTTCTAGCTTTTCTATCCTCTGTGTGAGCTACTTGTTTTTTCTGGCATTGCTTTCGCACGCCGCGAGCTGCATGCACGTGAGGCACTGGTTGCGAACTTCGGGGCACCGAGGCTCTCCAGGGATCTGTTTACACTTTTCCGGGTTGGGCTCCAAGCTTTCATCGTGCCTCACAGCCTTCGAAACGAATTTCCGCATTTGCCGTAGTTCCCGAAGTGTCCCGTTGCTGAAATTTTAAGTTAGCCTAGCACAGCCCGATTGTTTTTGTTCGTTCACGTATGCAATCTTGAGCCGTGCACTTTGAGTTGTTGTCT